CGTGTCGACCGTAGATTATAGATGACCGTCTATTGAGCATCTCTATTTATAGTCTCGGTTTAGTAAAGGCCCACATGTATTTATAAGCGGTTCGCTGTCTGTTCTGGTTAACTTATCGTTTTCATGAAGTACAACATTTCCGTATAGTCTAGGTTTTATGGCAGCCCAGTGAAAGTCGCCTTTCGGCAAGTCTAGTTTTTGATTTTTCATACTTAACTCTCCTCAAAGTTCGTAACCGAAAAAAGTAAGGCTAAACGTTGGTCATAGTTTACTGACCCTTTTCTAAAAGAGCAGAGCCACCTTAATTACATCCGCCGTAATCAGAGCAAAAAGATATGCACGCTCTTGTACTAGAAGTGCCAATCTCATTGTTCGCCATCTGCATAATACCTGCGAAAAACCGTTACCGCAAAACAAACATAATTCATTATCATTCCAAGTGACCTGCAAATAACTGTCTACAAATAATGGTCTGCTCATGCGCAATGTCGTGCAACTGTGTTTGGCTGCAAATAATATTCTGCCTTATGCGCGAACGAAACCACGCGTGATACGTTATTGCGTGAAAAAAGGCAGATCGCTTCGCTTCCCGAAGATATTCATTAAAAAACAAACTTGGTGATCCAATGATAAAACAATTATTGAACTCGGTTACCACAACATATGGTGATTTGCCAGTGTCTCGCACATCAATTACTTGCCTCAGCCTTCGGCTTCGGCAACTAATTGATCTGCTCGCCGCTGACAAATCACGATATTTTGCTCAACCTCGTCCAATAATTGTTAATTATCTGGAAACATTTAACAGTCGTTGTGGCGTTGTCATGGCAACCGAGTTTTGACAACCATGTTTTTCACACTTTGCTTGTTTCATATAAATACTGTTACTTGCTAAATTATAACATTTTACTTAATTTAACAATACAAAAATGATTTTACTTAACCCGCGTGCAATAGGTAGTAGACCAGTACGCGCTATTGTACACAAATTACCATGTATTCTTTTGTGTACTTGTAGCTATTTGAAATTAATTGTTAGTCTGACGTTTCAGGGATTAAGTAAAATCAGTCTTCAACGCTATAAAATTTATTATCTGTTAGAGTAATCCAGGCTTTTTACTGACTAATTTGTAAAAAGTAAAAAGACAAAAAACATGAATTTAAAATGACCAAATGGTAACCTGCCATCAGGCGATCCTTCTTCTCTTTTTGTTTCCCCGAAAAAAAGAAAGAAAAAAAGAAAAGCCTGATTCGCAGGTTAATGAAATGGTAGATCTTGGGTTCAATTTTTACCAGAGTGTTAATTTCTCTCGGAATTTCACAACTTGCGGACTTTTTGCTTCCAATGCATCTTTTTTGACACGATCAATTTTTGTATATTACCTAGATATATACGGGTTTTAAGTGACAGTGAATACCATTAATTAATTCAAAATGGTGGATTTAAGATGGCGAATGGTTCAAGATCGTTCTTTAATAATAAAAGACGCCATCATGACATCACTGATATTGTTAAAAATTGATGAAATTTGGGTTTTTCAAAAACGTCGTCAATATAACGTCATAACGACGTTAAATTACGTCAGTGAGTCAATCACGTTATGCCTACATGCAGTGAAATGATGGTTACATCATTCTGTGTAACTTTGGTGGCCGTTCCCCTAGTCGCAGGAAGAAAAAGGCAAAAAGCCCGGTCTGAATAGAGAGGAGGAAGTTGTTACGTCACGTTGCCATGATAGCAAAGTTTCTGGATGACAACAAACCGAAAACGTCACTTAAAAAGTCAATTCGCACTGTTTCAAACTTCATCAATCTTACTCAATTTCATTTAATTCGTAAAATCTTGGCGAAATTGTCTGAGGTTGAACCCGAAAAGACCGTATCTGGTTTAGAAAAAGAAACAGAACATTTTGTGCTATGTTCACCAACTCCGTGAAGCGGGCACGTGAAATTATGAAGTTTCATGTCGCAGACTTGCAACGACGGCTAAGAAATGTACAAAAAGCGTGATCGGCACGTGCAAAGTTGTTATTTTGCTAATATAAACCAATTGCTTTTTTGCCGTTCTCGTTGCCGTCGCCGTCGTCGTTGCTTAAGCTTCCCATTGTAGTGATCCAGAAATGTTGCTACCATGGCAACGTGACGTCACACTTCTCCTCTCTGTAGGGTTAATGTAACATCAAACGTCAAATAGCAGGAAAGGGCACAACGCTAAACAACGAGCAGACCAACACTCAAATACAGGACAAGACGGAGCAAAAAAATGTAACAGTCAAATACAACAGCGAGCGGACCAACGTAACAATCAAATACAGCGCAAGATAGTGAGCACCAATATCTATAGGCCTTATGGTTTCTTTTTGGGCTTCCACACCATATTGCATCCATGTATTAACTGTATTCTAGTCCACTAAAAAACCTAAACACAGTTTAAAACAAGCAAACTTACCAACGTAGCAGTGAAAGAGAGCATACGTCAGGGTTTCCTTCGACGCAAAAATTAACACAGCACAAGGCAAGAAAGAACGCGACACCGGGATTAGCAATCAAAAGACGTTATAACCAACACAAAAATTATGTATTCCAATAATTTATTTATTAAAATATAGTTTTATAGCTTTAAGAAGTATAAATTAATTCTGCTATAATGTTCTAAAGAGATATAAATGCCAAAGGGCTGATTACATGCATGAGCCCAGCTGGCTCGCTTTGCCAAGATCGTGGCTCGTTAATTAAACGCAACATACTGAAATCAACTTAGTGATTTACACGACAATCCAGCCAGCCTGGTTGGTTGGAATCCTGATATCGAGATGGCCTAATAAAGGAGTAAAAGTCTCCTCGGCAAAGCGAAAGCAAGTCAGCCCAGCAAACCGGCCAACCCTGCTCATGTAATCAGCACTTTAATTTACAGCTCTTTAAGCTCCCTTAAGAAAACGTTTTTTTTTTAATCTTTAGGGCCTGTTTAAATGGAGGTGGGTACCCCAAGTAGGTGAGCTAATCCGCGGCGGGTCACCCCACCTATCATGTAAACGCAAGAGAGAAGCTTTATCCTCTCTTGGGAAACGTGATCAAATTAAAATGAGAGATTATATTGACAGGCGGGTTACCCCACCTAAGCGGGTTACTTCACCTACCTGGGGTCCCCCACCTCCATGTAAACAAGCCCTTAATATCATGAGTTTTGAGCCTCCCCGGGGCAAATGATAGTTTCGCAAATAGTAAGGTTTGAGAAATGGGAAAAAACACCAAGAGTTAGTTCGAATTATCCAGCGCGTAGCTTGAAATTTTCAAGAGGTGGGCACGATTTTTCAAATCATCCCTACGGACCCGTTTCCTAAATCATTTTTAAGCGGTTAGCTGGATCAAATTTTCTTTCCTCCATATCATGAGGTAAAATACATCCGATGGGGTAAAATCATCTTTGTTGTTCTTAGGACCACGTTCTCATGGCAGAAGGTAAGGCTTTCGTCTGTCGGGCAATTTCGTGTTTGTTTGCAGTTGGGCACATTCCCTCTGGGCAGGCCTGTTTCCAGAAAAGCTGGTAAAAAATACTAAAGAAAGTTTAACCTGCGAGTTTCTACTCAGAAGGTTGAGGATGTAATTCTTCCAACGAATGCCATCTTCAAGAATTATTTTGGTAGTTTATCAAACACGAGACAGAGTGTTTCTTTGTAAAATGAAACACTGAGAACAGAGTTGAAAGAGGCGCAGCGGAGTATTTTTCACCAACTTCGATGTTTTTGATACAGTTTTCTCATGAAATACTGTGTCCGATAAATAAAATGACTGGAGAAATTAAGCATGCAACTATGAGAAGTTTTTCATCTGATTTTGGCTTTGTAAATTATTTATGATAATGAAATACGCTTATCACAACGTTAAATTTTCATCTTGAAAGCATACCCTTGTTACCCGTCACTTTAAGGACATGAGGGGATCATTGTTCTGGTAAATAATGTTTGTACAGCAGTTTTTCATCCCTCGAGTGTTATTTTTGTGTATTCTCGCTATGTTTTTTTGAGGCATGTGGTTTCGGCAATTTCGACTCGCATTACTGACGTGGGAAATTTTTCGTCATTTTCTGCAGTTCTCCTTTGCCAAAACAGCTGAGCTACCACGCCACTAATTTGCGTGACGTCTGTATGACCTCGTAAGTCTGATATTTTAGTATTAACGTCAATCGTAAGCTCAAAGCAACATATTTCAAGTTTGGTCAACACCTATGAAGAATTAGCCGTGGGATTTACACCAATCAGAAACAGAGAAATATTTGCAATTAAAAAAAAACTTGAAGGGTTACGAGGGTAAAGCTTTTTGTATATGCGTACATAACAAACCCCGCTCAGTATAAAACTTTCGAGTGTATATAAAAGGCCTTAACAAGGCATCTTCTACGAGCCTTCATTTAAAACAAAAGTACCTTTAAAAATATTCGACTGTTTACTTTGGAACACGGAATAACGGTAAATTCTGCATTAAAAATATTTTAGCCAAGATCAATCATCAAACTTCTTATTAGGAAACATTTTACCTCTAACGGCTAAAATGAGAACAACAAAATAACATAGTATGCAAGAATGGTGTAAAGGAAATCAAGTTGATGGCCAATAGGTCGACTTAAAGAACTAATGAAGACGAGTTCAACTCGTATTAGAGCCATTAACGAAACCTTTCCCAATGTATTTCCGTTGAAGTAACCTTGCACATTACGTTATTTTTAAGTTCCACGCCTTACGTGACGTCTAGTGTATGTATCGCTTTTCGAGGAAGATCCCGAAATAAACCTCAAATCATCGTAGCGTTAGGAAAGCTGTCACATCAATGTCAGACTTCCACTCTTTGATGGGCAACATACTACCTGAGGCTGTCCTTGTTCGCTCATGTCTAAGCTTTCAGCTAAATTAGAATAGAGAGGGCTTTCCAGCTACTTCGCCTACGGCAATGGCCACCGTCAGTCAAAGATGGTTGCTAGGCAACCTTTTGACAGCATGTCAATTTTAGGGTGACCCTGGAACATCTCCCCCATTCTCTGAGATAGATCCATTGCTAGGGAAGGTAGGTAATCTCCCCTGATTTCCTACGTTTAGAATTCTCATTGCTGCTCTCCTCCGCTCCATTTCCAGGCGTTTATAGGAAGGCTTGAACGTACAAATAAGGAGAATTGCCATAGCAACCGCTGTTGATGTCATAAAGTACATGGCCCTTTCAAAGTCTGGGACTTTGTCGCCCTTAGATTTCCCATGACATTTGTGGTCTTTAAAACGTCTTGGAACTTCTAACAATTGGCAAAGTAAGATGAAAACGATACCGGTGGCTTGACTGAAAAAGAAAAGACATAAAAAAGGATCATAACTCTGCTATTCCACGAACATATTGTAAATCTTACCAACATCTCTTTGCTTGAAGCTCAGCGAAGTTCTTCAATTGAGAATTGCGGGAGATAAAGGGTCCCCAAAAAGTGGCGAGCGAGGCAAATCGGGAGAATAAGGGACATACACACACTGCATTAGTGAGGTCAGGGCCTTAGTTCTCTTATCCAAATCAGGTAATTCCATTTATGTGCAAAGTAGAACTGGTTTTACTTTTAGCTCGAAAACAACGAAAAAAGTGGACTTAGGCACCGTAAATGACCTTATAGACACTCCAGGATCTTCAGTGGCGGATGCAGGGGAGGAACCCGGCCCCCTTATTTTTAGACCAAACTGAGGCCCGAAGGGCAAAAAAAAATTTTTTTTTTGAGACCGCCCCCCTTCCCTTATCCCTTATCTCATGGCCTCTGAGTCAATAGACTAAATGGCTATTGACTCAGAGCCCATTCGGACTCGAGGAATAATTGTTAATTATGCGTGGGATTTTAGCCAATCAGAAACGGAAAATTATTCTGAATGAATAATAAGATCGATTACATCATAGTTATTAATTAGTTGAATGAAAAGCCTTCGTTGATTGCTTGGAGGTTTAGAGTGTCCGTTTCAAAGCTAATTTTTTTTTGTTGATTTGCCTGCTTTCCCTGTTGCCTTGTGTACATCGTACACAACATACCCAGCCATCCACTGTAGGCCTGCACTTGTTGCTTCAGCCACAGGATAGGTACACTCCACCCCGACTTCCAAACAGACGGGCATAAGAGCGAACGCAAAGAAGCCAAATAAACCGCAGCTAACAACAATAAGAACAGGCTGATGAGGCATCCTTGCTACCTGATAACAAACAGAGATATTTATAGTTAGCTTGCAAGGACTCTGAAGAAGAGAGGAACAGTTGAACCCGGTTAATACGGACAACGAGAGGACATGCAATAATGTCCGTATTATCTGGGTGTCCGAGTCTAAAGTCTAAAAAAAGTCTAAACATTTATCTGTAATTTTAACAAGTTCAATCTTAAGAAACCTTACTATCATTTATCAGTCTCAGAGTAAAACTACCCTTCAAGTATTCTTGTCTTGAAATACAACGATGAAATCCATAACTTTACTTTATACTGACGCTTTTAGCTTGCAACTCAGGCCAGGAGGACTGAACATTAGACAGAATGTTTAAAAGGTAATTCGCTGTTTGTGCTAGGTTTTCATTGATAAGATATTCGGTATAAAGAGAGCTTATATTTTGAGACGAGGACGAAGATGCTCACACGTGAACTAGCCTCATTTTGCCGGGAAAACGTGATAGCCGTCGTCATTCTACTACGAGTTTTCGCGAGAATGTCGTAGTGGCGGGAAAATGTTATCAAATGTAAGAAATTTTATCATTTTGCTATCGAGAGAGGGCTTAACCCCCTTCAGTATAAATAACCGTACTAAATTTTTTGTGACAAAAAAAAAAAGGAAAATGAAGCTTTCCGGGGAGTCTCTTTTTTTTGACAACACGCGCAAAAACTTTAAATGTAATGTCGTACTTGTACTCGTTCTTGTCCTCAAATCTAAAGCTCTCTAAATACATTGTGCTGATAACCAGTTTCCGCACAGCGAGGCTAACGATTTATGACATCTGACTCGGGACATAGAATAGTGTCTGTAGTCCGTATTAAGTAGTGTTCGTACTTTAAAAGCGGGTTAATTTTCGATAAGATGCATGAGCATTTCGTCGGAACAAACGAAACTGGTCGTTTTATATGGGGATCCGTAGGGCAGGGTTCCACTGTACTATGTAAGCTATCCCTGCGACAACTCTCGTAAACCACCACTTCTAGTTGGGACCAGCAGCATTGTACAGGCAAGCCTGCGTAACGAGCGTTTCTGAGCGAGCTCTTCGTACGCAGGCTATTGTTAAACCCCATTTGAACTATCTCTTCAAACTCTTTGACGAAAAGCTCTCGTTAGCGAAAACGACCACGATTCTTAATACCAGTGAGTCCTTTCCTTTGTCTTAAGGTTCTTGGGGTGGGAGGGGGCAAGGGGCACTCATTTCACAAAGACCTATGGCTTCTAAAACGAGGACTACGAGAACGAGATTTCTTCAATACTAACTAGTGCGCGCGTGTGAACCAGCGTTATTTAGGGGGGAAACGTGATAGTCGTCGTCAATCTACTACGGGTTTCAGCGAAAATGTCGACGTGGTTGAAACAAGTTACCGTAAAAATCCGAAAATAAGCCCCTGGGCTTATATTTTTCAAAGCCTTGTTTGAGTTGCTATTTTTGGAGGGGCTTTTCTATGAAGGGAAATTTGCGTTTCAAAATCGATTGGGCTAGCCTTACAGTTGGAAGGAAATTTACAGTTTTTGCTTTATTTTACTTTGTATTTGAGGGCAATTTTCAAGTACAAACCCCCGCGGGGCTTATATTTGGAGGGGCGATTTAACGGAGGGTTTTTTGCGTTACGAGTTTGGGGGGCTTATATTTCGAGGGCGTTATGCATGGAGGGGCTTATTTTCGGAATTTTATGGTATCAACCATCCTTGGTTTTGTCCAAGATTGAGACATCCGTGAGTTTTTCACCAGGAGACTTCACATTTCAAGCGAAAAATTAGGTATTACGCTATATTACTCAAACTTACAACAGCAAAAAGGGCACATGATACTGCTGCTAGACCATATGCAACTTTGGCGGTTTCTTCAAACTTCTTGGTCTTGTCAATATAAACACCAGCTAAACCTCCTCCTAACAGACCAACAGCTATTAACACTGCTCCCGCTACGCCTGCCATTTCCTGAAAGAATGAGCAGTAATAAAATATCATTAACTATCTAATCATTCACTCTGGCCAATATTAGGAAAGACGTCAAGCTATTGTAGCAGCCAGGAACGACTACTCCCAGGGGAACAGGGTGGAAGGGATGGGTGAGTGGGTGAGTGGGGATGTAAACGACTACTCCCAGGAGGACTGGTTGGAAGGGATGGGTGGGGATGTGAACAACTACTCCCAGAAGGACCGAGTGGAAGGGATGGGTGAGTGGAGATGTGAACGACTACTCCCAGGGGGACAGGGTGGAAGGGATGGGTGAGCGGGGGTGTGACGCTCAGATCCTTGAAACCTTAGCTTATACCACACCTAGTATTCAGCTGAATGTTGCTACCCTATACAAGACTAAGCTCCTGTCACCGAGGCGGTCATTAAGAGCCAGGGGCCGGGGATTTCCCCCCGGCTACAATGAGTGTGGCTCCTGGCTCCTTTTATTGGACTTAAAAGAAATCTGGAACCAAAAGACATCCCTAGCTGTTCGATTCCCCACCTACATGTACTGTTGTCTTTACACGACAACTTGAAATCTTAGTGACAACCCTGAGTCACCACTCACCATCCTAGAGTCGCTATATTTAATAAGGTCATCTACTCACAACTTTTTTGGCTATTAAACTGAGATGCAGGTAAATTTAAATTTTCCAATTACATTTTTTGAGTGTCAATTCCCGGTTTTCTGAGTCCAGACTAAAATCTTCAACCAATAACTGACTGATCAAGCAGTTTCCTGGAAAATGATACTCTTTTCTAGCCAAATTTCTCTGATTTCTATAACCTATCCCAGACTTAACTGCTTGAAAATAATGTAAACCTATGCACAAAGCGGCACATACCTAATAATTTATATAGCCCATAATGACAGTAACCCCCGTTCCCCGCCCAAGCCTACTTCACAGAAAGACTGGTCAGGTGCTGTCTTGATGAGTATGTACCCACCTTCCTTTTATCAAAAGAAAGACTTGTCATTTGCATAGCCATACATATTACAGGTGGGTTCTTATGCTTTTGATTAATAAAACCTGTTTTGCCAGCCAGAAAAAAATCTGATGCCAACATGTTTAATCTGTAGAAACGTACATCATTATAGCCCCGTGGACAAATGACCTGCTCCAGGAGGGTTGTTAGACATGTAAAAAGACCAATCCCACTACCAAATGCAATCATCAACACCAGGTATGCCTTGTTTTGTAAAATCTGAAAAGATGAGTTCAACAAATTTGACAGCAAGAAGTAATTATTAACTAGTAGTAATCAAGGGTTACAGAGTGTGGGCAAAAATGATTGAAGGTTAAACGCTTTTGTTCAAACGCTATTCTTTGCATAAGTTTCACGTGATAGATGGTCAAAACATGTGTGATTAAACTACAAGTGATAGAAGGTCCAAATGCGCATGATCAGATTACCTGCGATACATTCCATTCATTTTTAGTGGAAGTCCAAGTAAAGCTGGCTACTCACTGTATATACATGCTGTGTATGCGTAATAGCAACCTGAAGATTAGGATTGTGGGTTCCTCTTGTCACCCGCGATAATGACATAGCAATTTAATAATTAATTAATATGTTTCTGTCAGCAAAAGTTATCAGTTTTTAAAAATGCAATGGAGTCATGTCGTTATGAAAATTACAATCATCTAAGATCACTGTCATTGTCCATGAACATTTTTTTCTACAAGAAGAGTCCTTTAGAAAATGGGTTAGTATTACGGAAGTCTTTGTCTGTGAACGTTCACAAAGTGAAGCTACAAATAAAGCTAGGTAAGATTGCCTTCAGTAGAATATCAGGAGTATTTAAGTTGCCATCCACCCACCTTTTTAAGCCCTGTGAAGAAAGGCTCTGACTTTGATTCTGCTGAAGCTGTGGGAGGGGTGGGTGGGGAGCTGCTGCACACTCCCAGAGTTGCCATGGTAACACCAAGAAAGGCAGGAACAGAGAACATTTCTAACTAAGGAAATAAATTGAGCATAAAATTAATGATAATAAGACCCACACAAATATCGTAATTTTTAGCAAATTATGTTAGCATTACATTTATATTGACAGGCAACAACAATTCTGGGACATGACATCATGCCATGACTTAAGACTGTTTTCACATTACTTAAAATTTCTTGGAACAAATGAAAGTTTCAATATGAGAAAACAGTTTAATCCCCACAGGGTTTTTTTTGGTACACAGACATGGCTGCCATTTAGTTGTTTTGGTACACTATTAACTGTGGTCATTATGACGACAAGTGATTTAGCGATCTTCACACAGTGTTTAGACAGACTGGACAAACTTATTCTTAGCAGTGAGAAGTAAAGTTGGAGTTGATGTGACAACATTAAAGCAACTGCGAAAGAGCCTACCATGAAAGGTATGTCATTGTTATGTTTAACAAGAACTGGGCCTAGCACATTAGCCACCATAACACCTACAGGATTACCTGGAGACCAAAGTGAAAAAATTCATCAAACAAACATTTAAAAACTTGGAACTTCATCTGATCTATAGAAAAGGCAATCTCAGAATTTCTAGCTTGATCATTTGCTTGTGGGTGACTTGACATACCATATTTCCTTGAATGACAGTTGGGGGTGATTATTACATGTATTTTTTTCACACAGAAAGGGGCGATTATTTGAGGGAGGCGATTATTTCAAGTAGTGCTCACTGGAATTTGTGCCCTAAATATTTTGTTTTATTATCCCATTTAACCAAAAAATGATCACATCAAAATAATTCAACATTGGCTTTCTAAGTGTTCCAAATTTGGTCCCTTGATTAATTTTCAGTGTCAATATTCTTGGCATCAGAGCATGAATCATCACTGATCAGTTTTGCTGGATCAGACTCCACTTCAACTTGACAGGGAGGGGATAAAAGAAAGAGAAGATGGCAAGAGGGGTGGGGGTGGGATTATTTGAGGGAGGCGATTATTTTCAATATTTCCATCTAAGGGGAGCAGATAGTCAAAGGGAGGCGATTAATCGAAGGACAGCTATTATTCCAGGAAATACAGTAAGTTTCTCTTTTTTAATCCTGTCAAATGGAGTAGACTTAAAAATAAAGATATTGTAAAAATTTGATGTACATTATAATTAACTAACTTGAGGCAAGTGTAATGTGTGATATGCATTACTAATATACTAAATTAATATTAATTTGACTAACGGATTACAAATCTGCAGTTCAGGCATGAGCAGTTCTTATATCTTTTGAGGAGGTTCTACATGTATGTCTAGGTTCCATTCTGTATTAAAATGTCAATGAACAGCAAGTTGCTATAATGCAACAAAAATTGCAACTTTATCAATTGAAAATAAAATTTTTCTTCATTTGAAGACTGAGCTCACTCAATGAAGCTATCATGTTCGCGGTAGCTCTTTCATCTGCTCCAAACCACACAGCAGCCAGCTTAGTTGGGGAACCAAGAAGAAAAGGTTGTGCTAATGCTGCAGAGGTTTGACCAATCATCACTACAACAAATCTGGAGTTCGTATGGACAAACTCAGTTCCACTTAATATTCTGACTGCTGCTCCCACAGCATTAAGCCAGGCACCTAAAAGAATCTAAATAGACAGAAAAAGGTTCTGTAAGCTAAATGGACCAACATGTTAACATTTGGACAAAAAAAACCTTGCATGCATGTATGCTTATAGGGTTGTGCTCATGTGCTCTAGCAGTGCCAAGTGGCACCTCATTTTTGCTTTTGGACATCTTTTTTTTCATAGAAGTCTTATACTGAGCATCCTGAATTTCACAGGTTTAAGCACTGGGTTAACTTCAATTTTTCTTAGAGCATAGCCTTGATGCTGTTGTAAACTGCCCATTAGGTTCAATGTTTTTCTTTTAAAGGTGAAAATACAGTGGAACCTTAGTATAAGTACGAAGGGTGGCAAAATAGCTATGAGGATTTGTTATATCAAGGTTCTTTTTCATTATTTTATTATTACTGGGGTAAAAAACATCATTCATCAGACTGAGGACTTCATTATTTAAGCAATAGAAAACGTTTTCCATGTTTGCATAGCCTGATATACACACGAGAGGGGTTGGGAGAATTCGAGACAGTTATGCAAACCCGAGACGAAGTCGATCAGGCTATGCAAACACAGGAAAAAAGTTCTCTATTGCTTTTATAAAATAACTTTCCTGAGAAAAAACGCAAAACTCTGTTATGGTACTGATTAAAAGAGAAATTCTTACCAGTGGCAAAGTCTTGTACACGACGTCTTGCACGCGTAATCAGTTCTTGTTTTGCAAGAAGATGCTATTCAAAATATGGATTTTTCTCGCTTAAACTGTCAGCTTAAGCGAAAAAAAATTCACACTCCTTCTTTGTAATGATTATCCAAGTTTCAGCCGACAGAGGAATTGTTAAATAAAGCAAACTTGACGAGTTTTGAACTCGAAAACTTTTTCAAATTTGTGCTTGCGTGATTAGCACGCAAAAAGCAAAACACCTTGACGCCACAACAATGTTTTCATATTCTCATGCAAACACTCCTCTCGGCCAATCAGAGCGCTTGTACTATCTTAGTTATTTTATAAAATACAATACTTTATTTCAAAAAAGCAAGCATTGTTACAAACAAGTGCAGTTATTAAGAAAAAGGAACCCCAAAGGTCAACCCTATATTAAGGATCTCCTATATGTATAGAGGTTTGTTGTATTGAGGTTCCACGACTGTAATAAAAGTTTTTGATCACCCAAATGAGCTACATGTATCCACTAGAAAGATAACAATCATCAAATGCTTTATTAAAAATCAGTTGAAACAAAGAAAATGTATATCCGACACTAAAAGCAAAATCCTCACCCCTGTTCGTAATCCAAGAACATCCAGAATCCACATGGTCACCAAGCCAAACAACAAATAGCAAACAAGATAAACAATGGAAAGCCAGTTGATATCATTAACAGATTTCTGGTAAAATCCAGCCGTGTAATCAGCGATTGGAGCAAATGACAACCATAGCTATGTGATAAAACATGATAATTTTTATAGTAAGATATACATTAAAAACAGAGGCACCACCCTTGGAAGATCTAAACTCTGAGATTGTCTTTTAAGCAGTACCCACCAAAACCAGAAACGCCCGGCCCCTACCCCTCCTGCAAAAATAAACACAAATCAACACAGGGTGTGGCTCAGGAAATTCTGTGAGGTCTGACATGAAGTAAAGACCATCGGTTGAGAGAGCACTGGTCTGCTGATTGGGAGGTCGCGGGTTCATAACCCAGTCTGTCCAATGCTCAGGGTTTTAAATAACTGAGAAAGTCCTGCCTTTATAATGACATCTACAGTAAGACTTTCTAGTCTTCTCAGATAAGGATGAAAAACTGTAGGTCCCATCTGACAGTACTTTCAATTATGTGGTTCTAGTGGGACATAAAAGAACCGACACCACTGTTCGAAAAGAGTAGGGGACGTAGACCCGATTGGTGTGGCCCACCTTTGCTGGGCTGAGTGGGTTATCTTCTAGGAAGGATCTTAATACATGTATAGGGATAACCTCATGATCCTCCTTCAGGTGTCATAATGGCTACCTGTAAACAGTGTGTATCAAAAGTTGCCTCTACAGTGGGGGTCAAAAGTGTTAGAACCTTTCCAGTGATATCTTTATATTTATTAAAATCTGAATCATTGGATAATGCAATTCTAGAGCTCTGATTGGCTCAGCTATCATGGTATATGAGCCATTATACCATGCTCTCCAAATATTGTAACTGGGATATGCATCTGCTCAAAATTAAAAACAAGCTGAAAATCCGTTGTTTTTAAAAATAAGGTCGGGAAGAGCTCCGGATATTTTGTGGGCATTCTTTTATAAAACAATTATTCCACTTGCACTTGTTGGATATGAGATGTTTATAGCCAACTCGGTGCTATGCGCCTTGTTGGCTATCTACCATCTCATATCCAACGAGCACTTGTGGAATAATTGTTAAATATTTTTAGTAAAACTGGTGGCCTCCCCCTCCCACCTCAAACAATGCTGAATGTTTGGCAAATAGGGTTAAAATGAGTCTTTTTGGGGGTGTAACATTGGTGGGGGGGGGAGGGGGGAAGGGATGAAGGGATGAACCTAAAGCTGATCTAAAACGCTGGTAAAACCACTCAAATCATGCTGAAACTGTACAAGAAAAAAACCAGCAACAAATAAAAATGGCGATACCAGGTAATGATACACGTACTCGCTTGAGGAATTTTACCCATTTACATCTATTTGTTCCTTATGTATGTCATACAAACGCTTTTGTGCTTGGGTTGCCTGTGGTTCTCGATCGAGCTTCAACATCTTTGAAGCTCTAATTGATGAAATATCATACTGACTTAAGACATTGAACGACTGCTTTGTCAACTCACCATCGCGTTAGAGACATTCAGGACAAAAAGCACCAAAAGAACATACCATCTTCTTCCGTACAACCTATACACGCCGAAGAAACGTTCTTTTGACTTCGAAAGATGAAGTATAGCTTCCTCTTGCGATATACTTCTCGTGTACAATGAAGGATTAGGATGCAGAAGGGCAGATCTTTCACTGTTAACGTTTTTCGGAGAATCCATAACTGGTCAGTCTAAGAATAATGGCTTAATATATGAACCGCTAGCTGGTAAATTTGCGAATTTCTGACGAAGAAACATGACGTTGAGTTTACGCCATTTTCTCTTCACCTTTGAACTTGGTATTCCTGTCACATTCCTGTAGGCCAAAGGTCCTGAGTACTAGTCAGTCCCAGTACTTATCATCTCAAAATCCAATATGGCCGCAACAACTGAAGATTTTCAGAAACGTTGGGGAGAAATTCTCGAACCGCTGCCAAAAGCACCAGCTCTTCATATTGAAATAACGGAGCCAAAACCAGCGGACTATGAACTACCAACGTTGCATCAGCCCTCTTCGGAACATTTCCCACCCAAAGACGAGTAAGTTGTCGTCGCCTCTAAGTTTAATATGCCTACGGTTTTCTGTGACAGTAAAAACCCGCGTGGAAGAACCTAGTGGTTTAAGAACCTGCTGGCAGAAATTTGCCATTTTAATACTCAAAAATATAAAAACCTGTTTAGCCAAGCAAGATTAAACAGGTTTCTATTCGTTTTAGTCCATGGGGTCTTCGTTTTAGTCCAAGGGGTCTTCGTTTTAGTCCATGGGGTCTTCGTTTTAGTCCATGGGGTCTTCGTTTTAGTCCATGGGGTCTTCGTTTTAGTCCATGGGGTCTTAGGTCTTAGGTCTTCGTTTTTGAGTCTTCGTTTTAGAAACACCCAAGTTAGATTACCAATATAGGGATGTTGGAAAAATTTCTTCTGATGAAGTCAGTGCTGTAATAGACCATTTTACTGTTGAGGGCTCAGTACTTTAGCCTTCACGTGAATGCGAGGCTGAGGTTGACCTTGTTTTGGTACAAACCTCCAAATTATACTTGAAAAATACTAGTTGGTATAAGAAAAACATAAGTTACATATTAAAGAAAGCAGAAAGGGTTTTATCAAAACAAGGTCAACTCCAGCCTCGCTTCCATCTATAACTTTAAAGTGGGCTATTCCCTTCTAAAGGGGGAAAATGACATCACCACATTTTCTTTGGGGACGGGTACAGAACAAAATGTAATACTATTTCTGAGGGCTTGATACAAGAAATGTCGATTTCTCCTATGAATGATCTTTTTAAGGGGTCACCTCTCAGCGGGGGGTGGGGATATCATAATATTAATAGATGACCCTCAGATGTCTGTAATCATTTTGCGTGAGCTTTAGATTAACTTTCAAATCCATAGTTTGGAACAAATTGTAGCTGTTATTACGATTTTCCTCCGTATTTCTTTAATTTATAATCAGTATAAAAAATTATTATCCAAGCTCGAGTTGGTCTGCTGGTGATTTGACATATTATTTCAAGTATTTTGATATACCAAACAAACATTTGTAAGTCAACAGGAACTTCCATCTGCTACACTTTCTGAAAAGACTGTTTTATGTCAGATCACTTGCTCATCATTTTTTACATGTTCCAATCATGCAACTCCTTGGCCTATGGTACCTGACACATTTAGCATACAACAGCATAACAGTCACTTTACCAGTTGTTATTTTGGTTTTTCGTTGTCTTGCACCATTGTAATGTAGCCCTGAAATAATTTTAGATATTTGACCTTCTTTTACCTGTCCATTGTAGACTGCCTGCAAAATTTATGGCATCTGTTAAGCCTCCAGTTGACAAACATTCACAAAACTTGACACTCCATTGTATTGAGCTACAACATCATAAACGACGTATGCGGTTGATGCTGATGGCAGCACAGCACCAGTATGGAGAAGCAGGGGTATATGACATTGATTTTTCTGTTTTTGGTAATGTAGTAACAATAGTCATTACTGTCTATTTTTTATGCCTGGGATTCCAGAGATGTTGGGGAGGGGGGAGTGGGGAGGAGGGGGAGGGAGTGCCAATTTTAACACATTTTCATCTCAACTTGTCTTAATCATTATTTGTGTGGAGCCACAGTCTTCACTGCCGCTTGTCTTGTGATTACATAAATTTTAACTTTGTTGGGCAACTTTGATGCCTAACTTTGTGTACAAGATAAAGAGGGCTTCCAATTGTTTAGGATTCAATCTAAGAGACCAAAGAAAATGATTTCTGTTGACTCAACACAAATGAGCAACAACTATTAAATGGTGATGTCAACAATCACATTTTTACTAAACAGGCAAACCGTCAAATCAGCTGGAACTCTGCAACATGCATTACCTATATGCTACATACTTCTATTAAAGATTCACCATAGAAAGTTTCCTTAATCACTTAAATTAAGCGCTGCGGAATTTAAGTCAGCAACTACCAGAACATTACAATTAATGACTTATTGACGGAATCAAGTAAAACTGACAAGGAATGACTGCTTGACAACCAAAAATTTGATTTAACAATAAACAAGCATTATAACTGATAACTGTGACAAAACATGGATTGAAGCACACCATTCACATCCAATCATAACCAAAATCATTGCTGCCTAACTCTTAAAGCCTAATACCCAAATACCAATTCTCTACACTGATCTCCATACATTTTCTTAAAAAAAGGTAGTTGCAACTATTTTATTTTTCGTGATCATTAATTTTTATTAATCCTTAGAATGTAATAATTATATTGGTGTTGTCAGGAGAAAACTAAATTTGGTTATATTTTGGGACGTAAAGGGTTAGGTGACAGACATCCGATAACATCATGACTTGATTCAGACCAATGAGGTCAATAACCAGGGTTTGATACCATCAACTGATGGCAGTCTTGTTCAGGACCCCTGAGTGTTCTTACAAGGATTTTCCACCCTGGAGTCCACAGGACCCATAGAGAAGCTTAAAGGGGGTCATGAGGGAGAAAAACAGGTCACACTTTGTAGATACAGTTAACTTGATGTTTAACTCACTGGTCTGAGTTAGCTAGAGTATTTCAACTTAATGGTACTGTATAGTTTTATTTTCATGGTAGATACATGTAGGATAAAGTTCTAATTCCTCAAATTATTTTCTTTCTTTCTTGTGAGAATTATAAATGAAGCAATACAAGTGACCCATGCATCTGCATGGTCACCTGAGCTTGTCTATGACAGAAAATTTTTTTGTTATCAGAGATCAGATGGTGCTGAAACAACTTCATTACCTGCTCATCCACCCAGACCCAAGAGATTCTGCTCCAGTCAAGGAATTATCACACCACCAACTCAGTCCACCATTCTTTCAAGAGCTAAGGAATCTGTTAGGTAATACTCACTTAGCTGCCTATAGTTAAGTTGTTAACCCTTTAAGTCCCAATATCCACATACAAATTCTCCAAACTGATCTCCATACATTTCCTTTAAGAATTAGTTGAGAGAATTTAATAAAACATCAAGGCATTTTCTCTTTCATGATCATTTTTTATATTCTCACAACCTTATCTCTTGACAATGTATGGACATTGTTAGGAGAAAATTGTTGTTGGTCACTATTGGGACTTAAAGGGTTAATAAGGCACCAGAATAGCAGTCATGGTCAGTGTTTAACTCCCAACCTGACTACCTACCAGGATTTGAATGTAAAGTATGATCTTGTAATTTGCCAGTGATCTTTTTCTTTTAAGCTCTTAGGTCTTCTTATTTTTCTCTATTCATAGGAACCCTAGCCTGCATTGCAGTCAGACTTGTCACTCAAGACCTAAACAGGGGTTTCGTTTCATGCCCGACGCCAGACGCAACATCTGGTTGTTTGACATGTAACGTCAGTACTTCACACACTAGCTAATAATTATTTTTTAAGTGTGAAAATCGTTTTTTCTTTATTAACGAAAGAAAGACTTGACCTTTATTTTACCCACTTAGTTATGTAATGCATACAATCGAAAAAAAGATATAACTCTTGTCATAATCCCGGTTACCCAATTCCGGTCCAGGGAAAGCAGGAAATTGCATTTTAGAGAGTCCAATTTTACAAATTTTCCGGGAGGCATACCCCCGGACCCCCTTAATTAGGAGTTCATGCCTCTGGCACTCAACGGCGCGAACGGTTCACGTCCACCAGCTGAACCACTGCATCTGGTACTTCCAAATGCTACCAAAAACCCTGCCTAAATACACTGTAGAGAAATCAAATTTACTATTGATGCTGTCTGGGGATTTAGACCGTCCGTGAGGCAGACTAAAGAACCCTCACACTATTCAGGGAGAAGAATTAGGTAAACGTCCAAGGTCGTTGTCCGATTTTTTTCACTCTGGTTACAGCTGATGGGTCCAATACATGTAGGCTGACTCTCAATTTCCTTTATAACCAAACCTAATTATTCATGATTGTATTGGTCTTTGTAGTGGTTAAAGTGATACAGAAACTTTTCTGTCATGTAATCAGTAAATTATCAAAATAAAAAATGAACATCACAAATTGATTAATAATGTAATCGACCCTGATAACTCAAACTGTTTTTTTGTTTTCCATCACAGTTCGAGTTACTGGAGAATTCTTTTGTATTTTTTTTTTTTTTGTATTGGTTAATTATAATAAAAAATGTTGTATCTCTATTGCAGCCCTCCTGGAACACATTCTACATTAGCATGTGCTGAGTTAGACAGTGCATCCAACAGACACTTACTGATGAGAGCGGTAGCCTCCTTGTGTGCACTTGCAGGATTTGATAGTGAGTTCCTCTCTCAATACAATATTATTACTCAGCACGATTCTTGTGTAAAATCTAATCTGTAGTTTTCAGTTTTGTAGGATTAAAATCTCTTACCTTTATGGATTGATACCAAGGTATTGGTCAAAGAGTTTGTACAAGTAATTGAAATGAAAATATTGGAAAATATGTGTAAAGGTCTGGAACTGATGGGTTTAATAGGGACCTATAGCAGCAAGGGACGTTGACGTCCCGTACGTCAAAAATAGCAACCAGAAGTTTATATTTTCTCTTTTTCAGTGCTTTGACTCGACAAATTCGTACTGCAGGAGTTAAAACAAAGGCATTCAGATTCATTGTGTGAGGTAGAAGCGTTCCATCAAGTGAAACATCGAACTTCCAGGGTCAAAAATTTCTTTACTGGACACAGATGACTTTCAGGGAAAAATCTGCTTTTAAATTTTCTTCAACTTTGAATGTAGTGGCCTGGAAAGCACTTTTTTTTATGCTTTTTGGAAAATATAAATATAGCCGCCGTGACGTTATGCGAAAACACTCTATACTCTAGTTAACTCTTTTGTATTTCCTCAGTGGCAAGTGAATCTGCTTTGGAGATACTTACAGACATCCTAGACGACTTCAACACCAAGCTTTGTCATCTTTTGCGAACTGCAGTTGATAATGAAGCCCTAAATGGAAGAAGTGGCTTTTCAGTAAGTGACTCAGGACACGATATGTTGGCAGCCATGCATAAATCTAATCTTGTTGATTGAGTTTAACGCTGAAGTTGCTAATCCTACCTGAGAATACAGTTGACTCCCGATAACCGAACCTTCGAACCTTGTAGTAGGGAAATAGAAACAATTTCGAGTTAATATCGGGAGTTCGGGTTATCGGTTCGAAGCAAATAACCCGAAATAAGCAAATAAGCAAATGGAATGGGAAAGGAATGCACGTATCATGCATACTTTACTTCAAGGGTTAGCAAGGTTGACATTTTGAAACCTGACGGAATTAAGCTACAAAGCTTGATGGGCAAAAAAAGGAAAGACAAAGAAGACACGGTCGTTTTAAAATAATTCAAAATTTCTGACTGCAGTGCACTTTTTTTGCTTTTGTTTTTATCGATGGCAAAATTATACAGAAATGATCTGTGGCGAAACATAAAATTACTTTGAGTTAGCGGGAGGTTCGAGTTACCGAGAGCGCGAGGTTCGCAAAAGCGAGGGTTTCTCTAACTCTTAGGGCCAGTTGTGAAACCGGAGTTTAGCCTGCGTTTAACAAAACTGCGTTGTGTGCTGGTGGAAGTCATTTTCAGTTTCCCAGCGCTTTTGTCTAAACACCATTTATCGTGAACAATTTCAATAAAGTATATAGCGGAGACGGGAAAAGCACTTATTTTCTTACGTTGACCCACTATTAACGAAGAGATCTGGAGGTCCAATGATTTCTTTAACTGCGTTCTCAGTCAGACTTTGTTTGAATAACTGACCCCTAGTTTCTAACACATTATAGTAATTTCCCCCTTCCGATAAGCTTCTAGAGTCCATAAGCAAAGAATTAAACAAACCTCCAACCTTTTCTTAATTCCTCACTCCAGATACTGATTTTGATAATGATGACGAGTGCTTAATGATGTAAATGTTTTGACTGGCTTGAACTTAAGACACAGACTGTGTGACAAAGTGGTTATCCTAAATATCATGACTGCAACTTACACAGTCAGTTTTTAAACCAACTGTTTTAATTTTGCACTCTTTTGTTTTACCCCTGAAAATCACCTTTTGCTGACTAGTCGAGCTGTTTTCTGGTCACTTGGGCTATAAAAAGCCAAAGGTTTCTTTCTCGATCGTTGTCGTCCGTATTCCGTAGCCTTTGGTTATTACTATTACTAGGACTAATCGGAGCTTAAGAGAGTGCGTTCGACATGTTTGTTAGCTATTTAGCAGTGATCTAAACTTCTAGGTGAAGTACATGTAAGTAACAACGGGTCAAACACTGACTATGATCCTCAGAATACTCTTTTGCACTGTAGGATAGTCAATAAAATTGGCTACGAATTGGAATACAGAAAATTAAAGACATCTGAAAAGGTATTGATTGAGATGTCAAAAATAGAATTAAGTTTAAAATATATGGTCGATCTGAGGTCATAAAAACAAATACAGTGTGCAGAACATATTGTTGCCATGGTATCTACATATCCGATTATCTTAGAATGGAGTTTTTCCTTAATTGAACAGTGCGAGAAATGCGAGAAAACGGTAAACAAATCTGAAGTAAACAGAGAAATTCGATTATCGCCAATATTTCATCTGTGAGCGAGTGTCACAAAATAGATACCAGTTCCCGGGGGGGGAAAAACTGTTGCCAACGCAGCCAACGATCAAAAAAAAGATAAACAACGCTTTACGAAGTCAGGAACCACCAAGCGAGTTAGAGCTTCAAAGTGTGGCACAACGGGTGCTAGCCCCTCAAAGCGAGGCAAATGTTTGTCGACACAAATGCAATCTCAAAAAATCTCGCCTATTAATTGCACAGGACACCCAACATAAATTGGGCTCAGCTGGCTCGACTGCAGCACGACACTAGCACGACCTTGGCTTCAGACGTCGAATTTAATTTGTCGACTAGAACGGCTGTTGCCGAAAACGAAACACAAAAGTAAAGCAACGGTTTAGCAAACTTTTAAATGTGTTCTAATTTACTTATAATTTATGAATTGAGTTCGGCACGGTGGTAGCACAACGTTTGAAACCAAGTCTAGTTACTGCCGTGTAGCATGGCATGGCTTGCCGTGCTACACGGCAGTAGCACGACTTGGTTTCAAACGTCGCGCTACTGCCGTGCTAAAGTCGGGCCTTAGATGACTGGCACATCACTACGGTAATGTATTGATATAAAATTGACTTTTTTAAAACATCATTTCCCCATTACTTTATTTAGGATGCAATGGAGTATGCCCTGCATGAGATAGGCCTTGGTGGCTGTGCTGCTATTCAAAAGTATTGGACTCAAGGAGTGCAAGACTATGCTGTCAGACTGGACCAAGAGGATATGGAGATGATACAAGATTACAAATCTTTTCTTGTAAGCAGTTATATTTGCCTAATGACATTTTGTTCCTTTTTTGTAACAACTAGCAGTTCTTGAAGTGACTGACGGTAAATCTTGTTCCTCAGACATAACTACATTACAGCTTTAAGTAGGTGGAGTCAGTCTTTTTGCGACGTTATAGGTTTCAGTGGCGGATGACTTTTTTTCTTTAGTATAGTGTAAGAAAGTAACAATTTAGTTCATCAAGTTTTCAACTAGCACACTTATAGCCCTGCTAAAAGTCACCTATGATGGCAGACGCCTACCACAGGCGGACAACTTTTGCTTCTGCAAGCGGGCATTCCCCCAGGCGGCCACCTCTCACAAGAGGGCACCCCAACAGGCAGCAACCCGGGCAACCTCTCCCCACTTTAGGTGGGCAATTCCACAGGCAGGCATCTCCCACAGGTGAATGCCTTCTGTAGGCAGATGCCGCCCGCAGGTGGATGCCTTCCAGTGGCAGACTATTCCCACAGGTGAATGCCTTCCAGAGGCAGACACCTCCTGCCATCTCCAATAGCTGGAGACTTCGTCATGGTCCCAGCTGCGACACCTCTCATTCCAAAGTGCATGGACACATTCTCTGGACCCAAGAATGTCCTCTTTTCAGAGGTTCAACTAAAGTTACATTTAAGTAAAAAAAAGTAAAAGTAACATATGTTAAAACAGATTGTTGTCTGTCATTTCAGGATCCAACAACAAAGTCCTCACCAGCAGGTGCTGATTTGGGAGTTTATAACACGTAAGTATTTTAAAAATACACGTACCTATTGAATAAATAACATTATCAATCATGTTTAAAACCTGACTTGTTCGTTCGCTGTGCTAGTTGATTAGCTAACTCTAAAACTGAGTGAAACCTCACTTTTTCGACTGTGTTATAAACAGATGAGATCTTTCCGAGGTAGATACTCTGGGTAACTAGTCACCTGTTTTTTTTTTTAAAAGAAATGGAACCTCGTATACGTTGCTAAGTCATTTCTTGTTCTTTTATTAAAAACTTCTCGGTCCTTAATTTACTGTACGGTGGCACTGAAGTTTATACGAAAATTTTTTCCTTCAATTAAGTGCGTCTTAGTTGACAAAAATAGCCCTCAAAATAATGGTAAGTTTCTGGTTTTGGAATCTTTCCTTCTAGTAAATCTCTTTGTTTGTAGGTTTGTGTGCTTGTGGCCTGCGGATACACCCGTCCTTGCCGCCAGGGACATTTATCTGTTCCAATAAAAAATCAGGATAGTGTTCTCAAGCCTGCAGAATCGTTAGTTAGTCGGACGGTTATTTCTTGTTGCAACGAATACAAAGCTATTATAATAAACACCTTGTTTTTTCTGTCCTACCTTAAATTCCCTTCCAAACCAGCCAGTTATATTTTTGCAAGAATTATTCACCCTTGGACTTGATTTTCAGTGACACATCAAGTGACTCACTCTGAGCTCAATTGATTCTTTTCGCTTACTAGTTACTCCCACCGACCTAAAATTATCGTTGGATTTCTTATGGTCCTTTCCTCTACTGTTTTAAAAGTTCACACTGCCTTGTCTGTCAACAGGGTCGTTAAGTGTATAGAAAAGGAAAAAACATTGATTATGGAGTTGAATAGTAATGTTCTTCGCAAACATTAACAGGGCTTAAGAAAAAGTCCCGCCCGGTACGCAGTTCTGGACGAGTAGATTTTCTTGCTGGGCAAGTAACGTTTAAAGCTTACTTGCCCTATGGGCACTGGGGTCGAGGCAAGTCATCCTCCAACTAAATCATCGACTCACACAAGCAAGTAGACTACGAGCAGTCTCTCTGTTTTCTTGGTCCGTCAAGCAAAACACGCGCGATTGCCCTTGTTCTTGCGTCTCGCGGCTTCGTCACTCGCTGCTTGCGCGCGCGTGCACTACCCTCATTAAATCTGAAGAGACGGTCTAACAAGCAAGTAGTTGCCCCGGGCAAAATGTAAAAACTGCTTGTCCAAAGGACATGCCGGAATTCAAGTTTCTTTCGAGCCCTGACAAAAAATCTTTTTTTTTTTCTGATATACTGTAGGATTAAAGAAGATGTGAACGTTAAAGGAAGTGGAGCGTTGTATAAGACGTCTGTTGGGGTGAGTGATATAAGAGACCTTAGGGAGCTTAAGCAACGACTACGGCGAAGGCAATGAGAACGTCAAAAAGCAATAAGTTTAGGCCCTGTTTGTTTTGTTACAAGGAAGGAGGGTGACCCTGGTGCCCTGCAAGAGGGTTACCCCCAGCACTCGCACATTTCTTCTTTTTTTACACGACGTGTAAAAGCAGTTGAAAATAACTGTGCTGTTTTATTTATGTATTTTTTTTTTCGGAGAAAAAAGTACAGTGAAGCTTTCTGTTTCTTTGAGAATACGCTGAAATTACTGAACAGACCAACGGGGACATGGAATCTATTTGTTTTATACAATAATCAGAAAGGAAAAACGACAGGCTTGCCTCGTATCGCTGGACTGTTCGAGGATTTGTGCCAGTTTAGGAGTTTTCCAAGTCACAAACGCTACTCTTCGTCTCTATTTCTTCTTTTCTTCTTTATATTTCTTGTAGACAGTTTCTCCGAAACGTTTTTCAACGCCTTCACTTGTTAAAAGAAGAATAATACCAAAAACATTTTGCGAAACTGCAAGTCTAGTCTAGTTTCCCGGAACGTCATCTATGTAGCTGGCCCCAGTTGTTCAAAAGTGGATAGCGCTATCCACCGAATAAATCACCATCCACTGGATAGCGCAATGGTAATTTTCCTAACATTTATCGGCTGGACAGTGTTTTTTCTGGTGCATTGCGCTATCCACCTTTTGTACAATTCGGGCCAGTACTCTAATAGATCATGGGCAATGACCAATCACAGCGCGCGCAGCATTCACATCATAGTATAATAGTCAGTGGCTTAAAAGGGAGTTCATGATGTCACGACAACGGTGACGGCAACGAGAGCGTCCAAAAAATTAAAAGCAACAGGTTTAACTCGCGAAACAACTCTGCAATTGCAGCACACGTTTTTGTACATTTCTTTAACGTCCCGGCACAACCTCGCCATGAAATTTTCTATTTTCACGGTTTTGGACGACGGTAAAACGCAACGACTTTTCTTATAAGCCGACCTTAATAGAATATCACCTACACTTGACAATTCACTTTGACAAATCGTAAATTCACTTGGTATCTTGATGAACTCCCTAAAAATTACCAATAAGGAAGCTACTGCCTTGGCCCTGCAAATAGCCGGCTCTGACGGCATCCTTGCTGCTGTTTTTCTTTGCAGACCGACACCTCAGAGCAAAGTTCAGAGTTTTCCAATTTAAGGTACTCAATAATGTGGCTTGAATGGCTGTAGCTATAAACCCCGGGGCAATTTACCACCTTGGCAAGTGTCTCTTCTTTAATATTACAGTCAAATGTAAGAAATGGTTTTTAGGAAAAAGATGTTATTGTCAGCATTTATTACGCCGTAAGAATCACCATATCAAAGCAATTTGTAACAAAAGTATGCGTTTTTACTAGCTTTGCAAAATGAGGTTTCTGTATCATTACAGACTATTGGTAACTCTTGTGAATTCTCCCCCCCGACTCCTCCCTTGATTAATCTGCGTCCACCCAGCACAGACATTTGACACGTTATACAGTGTTCACTTGATTTAATTTAATTCAATTTATTCACTTCTATAGCGCCAATTCAACTCAAGGTTTTCAAATATTTGCGTGCGTGTTTTTCCGAGGTCTGCTAGATGTTGCTTTAGAGTGTGAAGGCCATAACGTGTACTTGTTTAAACTAGCCTGTGAACAGGCCTTTGGTCGAGCGGGGAATTAGGGAGAGGGAAAAGCTAAAACGTGTGTCTACAGGCTCTCTCCCCCCTTCCCTTCCCTTTCCTTGCTATTTTTTTCCCCAGACAGAGAGCCTGTTCACAGGCTAGTTTAAACTGGCTGTATGCGTGAGTGCCCCCGCGGGGATTTCGCCCAGAAGGCGAAATCCCAAGAAGGCATTCAATTAGCTCGCGCGTATATATAGAAAAGTATTTCTACAGTTAAACTTTGCAGTTAGTATACCAGAAAAAAATCTCGATTTGCTGGATCAGGGGTTTCATGGAATCGTTGGGTGATGATCACGTTTCTATTGTTCACGCGCGCAAGTATGAAAGGGTTAGGATGACGTAAGGTATTTTGTGACACTTATTGTACAGTCATAAATCGATAGTCTTTTGCGTTACGTGTGTTCAGTGATTTTCTGTGGAGCAGCTGTTTTGAAAGTTATTGACCAAAAGACGCTCGTTAAGTAAAAACTTGGAGAGTTTGCCAGACACTAGTTTATCATTCACAAATTTTTTATTGGAAACGATTTGCCAGACACCGAGTTTTCTACTCGGACAGAGAGTTCTTTGCATACCGTTAGTCAGCAAAAGTAATAATATGCTTGTTATTTGTATAGGCAATAGCATGATTTGTAGTGATATTTGGCATAAATACCACGAGTGATATGAAATATCACGAGTGGTATTTATGCCATATATCACGTACAAATCATGCTATTATTTGTTTATACTACTACCCACAAAAGGTTTGTAATTTTCACATGTAGGTATTTCAAATTAAGCTGAAATACCACTGCTCTAAGCCAATACGCTCTTCTCACGTATGGTAATATGCCCGTCCATCCTCGTTTTCGAGTAAAACTTCTTTTGAAATGCTAATCGGACGACGTTTTCGTATTTGAATTTCAAAAGAAATTTCACTCGAAAACGAGGTTGGACGGGCATATTACCATACGTGAGAAGAGCGTATCAGATTGCAGAAATTTTTCATGTAGTAGTGTAAGTACTATTATTATATCATTCTCACCTTTACCTCCCTCCCCCCCCCCTCCCCACCACATTATCATCATCGTTAGCTTTATCGTTGATTATTTTTTTTCTCTCTTTTTGCAGCCCTTATGGAATTGTTTCTAATGGACCTAACACAGGTAAGAGAATCTTGTGCTATTTCGCGTGAAGTTTTCCCTGACTAAATTGTAGATACTCTCGCTTTTTGTTTGTTTGTTCGTTTTTTTTTTGGCCGTCTTAGCTTGAGAAAAAGCGAACTGCGGTGATAAATGTGAGGAAATATAAACGCCTTGCAAACGCATATTCCTTATATTTTATATTTGCGTTTATATTTCCTTATGTTTATCACCGCTGTTTGCTTTTGTTTGCTGTTTCTTTTTACACTGGTTCTTTATAACTCACTGTTTACAGTGCTAAGAGGGCACAATGTTTGTGGCTGTCGGTGCGACTGCAAAAGAAAAACAAACAAACAGAAAACTGCCGTTCTTCTGTGGGTCAAAAGTGGAGGCCTGTGTTCCTACATTTTTAAGACGAAACCCGGAAATTCCGCTTGTAAATATGAACTAACATGTGATAAGTGGACCTGCTTTTGCCCGTTACCAAAAATGTTGGTAAAATAACTTGACTGACAGTGAAAATTATTATACTACTGGTTCCGCGCGTGCAGTCAAGTTGAAGCGAATCCGTTGACCTGATTGGCTACCCAAGCGGGTAAGGTGATTGTATCTCGCCCTCTCGGGATTTTCCCCTCAGATCCCATAAGGAAAAAAATCCTTTATTGACAAAGCTTGTTCGATGTCAAGGCGGCTGGATATTGGCCTCGTTCTTTTGTTTCGTTTTTACTGACCTCGATTTCGTCTTGGTCCGTTAAAATGAATGTAAATTAAAAGTGTGTATAACAAGATTTTTTCTGTCGTAGTAAACTATGTATTCAAAATTTCAACTTGTTGAAAATCTTGCAAAACCTCTTTTAATGTCCCCCTATTTCGCGGCCACATTGACACTGAAGTATGGCGTAGGATGATAAACAGAAATGTCGAATAATATCAAGATCAAGGTAGCGGCAAATACGAAGGCTTGTCGTTTTCGACAACTCCCCAATCATCTTCAAAATCTTCATTTACTTCGCTATTCCTTTGTAACAGTCAGATACATCGTTCAATTCCACTAAACAAAAAGGAATGACCAGAATTGGAAGCGAAAGCTAAGCAAAGCAAATGATGTCGCTGACGTCATCAGTCTTCCTTTGATCCTTCGCACGTTCCCAGTATAGGCGATTCCCTTGTTTTCACTTTGCTCATAAGCATACAACGTAAACGGTCAAAGCTTCGTCGTATATACAAATTAGCTTCACTGTTTGCAGCTAAATCAAAAAAGGTTGCTCAGTTTGGTAATTGGTCATTGGTAATTGAAAATTGGGCATTCGGGCATATGGAACAATGTAATGATTTACTTCAGTGACAACCAAACAATAGCTTCCAATGAACAATTCCCAATGTCCAAACCAACCTTTATTGAATCAGCTGTATAAGTAAAGTCACCATTAAGTAATTACTTTAGCACAGAATTGATCTCAAACCGTTATATCCTCCTGAAATGGCTCCTTTAACGATCATAAACAAGAAACCACACTAGAAAAAAAAAACCCGCAACTTGAGTGAGGTTTTCCGATTTGTTTCTAAAGAAACATTCGTTTCCTCTCTCATACAAATCATTACATTTACAACGTTCCTCAACAGCGCCGATGGTCTTATGGTAATTGTTGTGTTATCCACTGATATTTGATTCAAATAATACAGGGACACGTAATGCGCGTTTACTCAGTTTTAACAAACTAATAATTTTCACGATTTTGTTCGCCAACCGCGGTTTACCCCATTACGGTGTAACACCCTTTCTAACAATTCATGAGCGGCAATGGTGTAGGTCGCATGAAGATAGATTGGCTTTTCGTAGTAACTCGTGCATGTCAGGTATGCAAATTTTTAATCAATTATATTACATGCAAGAGCAAGCGACAAAAACTAATAATAACAAAAACGGAACAATCAGTATTTCACTCATCATACGGCGTCAATGTCGAAAGGTCCAAAAGCTTTCGTTCTGTGAAAGGGACAAAAATTTTCGTTCCGTTCTGAACATGTCGTTATTCCTGCTAACAGCAATATGTGGGATATTAGGAATCTTCTGTAATGTTCAAATGCTTTATACCTGTTTCAAAGACAACAAAAAGCGTGCTTTAGTTGCAAGTCAGTTTGTAGCTGAAGTCACAATCATTGCAGTGAATATCGTTGAGGCTTGGAAGGAACACAGCCAAGATATAATATGGTTCGCCCATCCAGAGAATTGCTTCCCGTTCTACAAACTGGTCACCATTTTCGCGACATTTTTCTCATGTGGGAACTTGTTGGTGATGGTAGCATTGAAATCTAGAGGTCCAGTTTCAGAGAGCGAAAAGGAACTGTTTTTGACAAAACTCTTGCTATTACCGGGGATTCTTCTAGCTGCTGTTGGCTCCGGATCTGTGTGGTGGTTTAGCTGTTTCTCCCAGGACAACGATTCTAGAGCTAATCTAATTACTGTTTCTGCTTTTATCTTATTGTTGGTAATGACTATTCTCGTCTTTGTGTTCTGGCAAACACGCCTCGATCATGGAAGTCACAAATTGTCCTGTCTCTGTGACTGTTTCCTTGAATACTTTGGAACTGTACTTTTCGTAGTGTTGTTTACGATGTGTATTGGGGCTTTGACGATTCATATCTCCATACCTCTCGGCTGTAATTCTGTTGAAACCAGACTGTTCCAAATCACTGAGAAGGCTCTCTACATGTTCGTCGTGAACTATACCGTCGGTATAGCTATGCCTTTGGCCTTTATGGATTTGAACGAATCGAGCTATCAAGAGAAAGACAAAAAGGAGATAAAAGTTATGGTTGTTTAGCTCAGAGCAATGTGTTATATACATCGAGTCGGGCAAATGTAAAATAAAATTTTATTTACTGGAGACGCTGTACTCTGTACGCGACAGGGGAAACCAACCTTAATGCGAAAAGTACCTTTCAAGGTAGTGAACTGCTATCCGTGTGGGGGGTAGTGGTACTGCCATATATGGGCTATATAGGTATGTGCCGCTGTGAAGGGTATGGTTTTCAAGCAGTTTACTCTGGGATAGGGTATATAAATCAGAGAGTTTTGGTCTAGAATAGGGTATCATTTTTTAGGAAACTGATCAGTTGGTTGAAGATTTTATCTAGACTAGGGGGATTTGGGGAGTTTACTGTAGTACAGAGTGGCAAAATTCAGCTGAACTAGCTCTGGGTTAAGAGTTCCAGGGTCCCAGCGCCACATCCTCACCCAGAAATTCCCAAAGTACCCCCCCCCCCCCCCCGGGACTGCTATAAACCAAGAGAGAAGTAGCTCTTGAAGAAACGCATTCATTTTGAAACTTAATATCATCGATATTACAGAACTTCCGGAAATAGAAATAATAATATACTTTGTCGTCAAGACGTGAAAATAGAACAAAGATTAGAACTTCCTGAAATAGAGATAAGAATGTATTTATTCGTCAAGACCTGAAAATAGAACAGAAAGATTATGTAAAATATCTGGAAGGTAATATTGATAAACATCCCAGTTAGTAGCCACAGATACAACATGAATAATGAAATGTCTCCAAACGATGGACATCATTCTAGTACACATCTTGATCAATCAAATTTGATTTTACAATTACTGCCGCTCTGCTTGGTTCTATCAGCGATTTATTTTGAGTTGTTGTTGTTGTTGTTGTTGTTGTTGCTTTTCGTGGCGGCGGCGATGACGGTGTCCAACATATGTACAGTTGAACCAACGAAGGGCTAAGGGACTGGCAAAATCTGTTCGCTATAACGAGGTTTCGTTTTATCGTGTTTCTTTTCCATATATTTTACTATTACTGGGGTAGAGAAAATGGTTCGTTATACCGAGGACTTCGTTTTATAGAGGTTCGGGGTCATTTTACGTTTCTGGGAAACTGCCCACCTACCCCTCCCTAAGCCAACATTTTGCCCCAAGTAAGAACTAAGTGTTAGTGTTGGTTTAGGGGAGGAGTAGGTGGGCAGTTTCACAGAAACGTAAAATGATTCGTGAGGTTCGTTAGAGCGAGGTCCACCGTACGTTACCTTTTCTATGCCTAAAGATGATTCATTATCCGTTTTTATCATTATTGTTTGCAATATATGGTGTAAATAAAGAGATATTTACGTGCTGCAAAGAGACTGTGGTCAAACTATTTATTTAAAAGTGACATAGAATAAATGGGCTTTTGAAAGTTGATGTCCTTGCTTATGTGGCTTTTTGAACAAAGAAAAATTTAGGAAAATCTGTTTGTATATTCGGTTTGATTTTGCGCTCCATTTTGTTTGTTTTGTTCTTGTTCTTATTTGTTTCCTTGTTTGTTTGTTTCATAAAATTTGTTGAAAAAAGAGACCTTTTTCATTGGATACGTGTGAACGGAAGGCGAATCCGCTGGGGAAAAAAATGCGGATTATCAAAAAATACCAAGTCTTACAGTCGACTCTCTCTTAAAGGACACCTCTATATATAAGACGGACTCCTTACTGAAAGGGGCACCCACTTGTTTGTCCCAGCCTTTCTTTACCCACTTCATTTGACTCCCTATGAGGCGGACATTACTGTTAGGGGGAAGAGGGGGACACTAGTGCCGATTACAAAAGTGGTGTCCGTCTTAAAGAAAGTTGACAGTACACGATTTGAGGAGGTCTGAATCTCCCGTTTTTCAAGATTGTCATCTCTGAATACGAGTTTAATCAGTAGAACTTCTTTTGTCGACGGTCTCAAAATTCGAGGCGTTAAAACAACTCAACATAGGTCCGAACGATGAGTTTAAGTTAGTCTGAGTTAGGCATGTACGTCAAAGTGCTTGATAAGACAATGAAGTCGACTGAAGATTAATTTTAGAGAAGGAGGGGAGAATTATAGCATGATAAAAGGCCAACCTATTATAAACATCCAATTTCAAAAAGAAACGGATATTGGTGGACGGAAAAACCATTCGATTTTGATTCCATAAAAAAGTCTGTCTGTTTGCCTGTTTATTGTTACTTCGAGGATAAATTTGAAGTTGGCTTAATTGGTCCCTGAACAGATGCCTGTTTCTCGAAAGTCGTGAAAATTAACGGCCAAGAAAGTTGTTGATTTTTGTATTCATGATCGAGCTTTCAAAAGTTTTACGGACAATTTTTAAAAACAGCAGGTGACATTATTTTTTTCAGTTACGGCTTCTATTCATTAGATTTTGATTTCAATATTTGATCTCGCACCCGAAAAGTTACCGGGACATTTCGACAAAGTGGGACCCGTTTCTGGAAAGTCCCGGTAACTTTTCGGGCCCGAAATCAAATTTTCAAATCGAAATTTAAAGAATAAGAGCGCGGGTCCTGGCTAGCAGAATACTCCATTTTGTTTCATTAACTGATAGTTTTATCATGTTTGATGCAAAACTATTGAAACCTCTATCTTGCATGTAAACCAAAACAGCTTTACGGGTCCGTTAATTATCGGGACTTTCGGGAAACAAGCCCCAGAGAACCCATGGTCTCTGAAGCCCCTTGCAATGGACACAACCTTGTTGGCCAACAACTCCCAACATTGTTGGATGTTACATGTTGCGTCCGTTTGCGCACCCTGTTGGATGTTGTTGCGTGTTGTTGGGAGTTACTGCGCAAAGTATGAAACCGGTCAATCATTTAGCCTTGTGCAAACGGACGCAACTTTGTGGAGGGTTGTTGCGTCCGTTTGCACATAGCTTGAGTCTCCGTTACAGGGTAAAAGGGAGTAGCGTGGCCAACGCGACACATTGCAAATGAGTGTTTTTTCTTATTCAATTTTAATTTGTTATTTTGTTCTTGTTTTTGTAGGAGAAGGTAACAGTGATCCTACATCTCCTAACTGGGGAATGTCTTATATTAAGGTAACTTCTTGAAGAGCCAACTTGCTTTCCGTTAAGCCCCGTGAAAACGGACGCAACATTGTTGGATGTCACATGTTGCGCCCGTTTGCACACCCTGTTACATGTTGTTTCGTGTTGTTGCGCAAAGTTTGAATATAGTCAAACTTTTAGCTACGTGCAAACGGGCGCAACAACTGCCAACGATGTTGTGTCCGTTTTCACGGGGCTTTAGACGAGGTGCAGTCTTTCAGGGCTTTAGCGCGAGCGAGACATGAACAAAGTCATAGAAGGTCATGGAGTAGTGCTTGGTCACCAAGTAAAAAGCTCAAATAAAATTACTTTTTGTTTTGTTCCTTTTATTTCTGCAATAGGCTGAAGGTGAAGAAGATGAATCGTACGATGACCCCATGAATGTTGTTCCAAAAACGCCGCAGTCCTCGTAACGCACGCTAAAGACAAGAAACGAGTTCTAACGAGCGAGAGAACCCTGATACACTAAAGACTTGGGCAAATGTTCCACCGCGTCTGAAGACAAAAAGGGTCGAATGAACTAGAACTCGTGTTTTGGTTTATTATGAAGTCTAGAACATAAAAGACTGATAAGGACTATTTTAGTTGTCTTGTTGTTATCTGGGTCTGGTCTTGTTATAACCTTCTATTTTCTCTTTAGAGATCGTTGAGTGTGCGTATAAAAATACTGCGGAGCTCAAGCAACGACTGCAATGGTTACGAAAACGTAGCCTGAATTTCATGCGATTACCTCGAGTCGTTATTACTCCCTCAATAACGTCGTTGTTGAGAGTAGAAAACGACTCGAAGCAATCGGATGAATTTCAGGCTAACGAAAACGTCACTTGAGTGTATTTGCGCTGCCTCAAAATTTATCGCGCTTATTCCATCTGGTTTAATTCGTCAGATGTTGGCAAATTTTTTTTGAAGTTCAGGAAACGAAAAATAATGTTGTTGTGTTGTGTTCCCGTCCTCGACAAAACGTTAAATTAGACAGATTCACGTTGTAGTAGTAAAACGACGGCAAAGAATGTGCAAAAAAGCGTGATCGCGTGTAAAGTTATTATTTTGCTAATGTAAACCTATTGCTTCTTTGCCGTCCCTGTTGCCGTCGCCTTCGTCGTTGCTTAAGCTCCCTACTAAGTTAATTGTAACTTAATTGTTATGCTCTTTCAATATTCGGAGATATTATTTTATCAACTTTATTAGATAATGATAAGCATTTGTTAATGAGGGAAAGAATGTAAAAAAGGGATACGCCTATTGGAATATTTCTGAAGAGAAAAAACGCAGTTTTTGGACTACTGCAAGTTAAAAAAAGCTTTTCCGGGAGACACATCTTTAATGTTCAGAATTGTTTATCAAACTTATATTATATCTAAGGGCCAATGTCAGTGCCTAATTAGAATTTAAAATTCTCTTGTACATTTTCAGCACATCAATCATGTTTTAGTGGTAGAATATTGTTCATAAAATTAAACGACGAGCTGATGTTGGGTTTTCAAGAAAATCAACCCTTTTCGTACGTTATGTTAATTGTGTATTGCACGTGACTCGTTGAAAGCTCGAAAAATGACCATCGGTTCTTTTGCGTAACGTTCGAAATATAAAGACTTGTATGGGAGAAAAACTGATCGATTATTTCTGTAGCCTACGGATGTAAAAGGATGTAACGAAAAACCAGCTAATCTTGCTTAAATTGTGAGTTTCTTCTTTCCTTGGTCCCCAAACCGATTTATGGTCATTTCATGGGTTTTATTGGAACCAGTTTGCTCTCTCTATGACCCTTGAGGTTAAATGACCACAATTAATCGGCTAGAAAACTACACAGGAAGGAAGAAACACTCCGCTTAAGTTAAACCTTTTACATTCGTAGGCTAGAGAAGCAATCGTTTTCTCACCATACAAATCCTTATATTTCGAATTTTATACGCAACAGTGCCGATGGCCATATTTCGAGCTTGGGTGTCCTGTGGAACAATACAAATATAAATTGCTATAGTCTTGCAACTGTTTGACCATTGCTTTGTAGCTGTTGACTCAAATCGAGAGAACTTTTTATGGCCTCTTGGCCTAAATTCAGTCCTTGTGAACTTCATTAACTATCTCTAGCAATTCATATGCAGCAATGGACAAGGTCAAATCAAGATTGACTGGCCTTCTGTGATACTGTAACTCATACATGCCCACATATTGCATACGCAAATTTTTAATCAGCTATATTTCATGCAAAAGCTAATAAAAATTGGAAGATCGGTATGTCGCTCATCACACGGCGTCAAACTCGAATGGTCTAAAAGCGTTCTTTCTGTGAAAGGGACAAAATTCAGTTTAGTTCTGTCGTAATCATGTTTTTTTTCCTACTAACAGCAATATGTGGGATACTAGGAATCTTCTGTAATGTGCGCATGCTTTGTACCTGTTTCAAAGACAACACAAAGCGAGCCTTAGTTGCAAGTCAGTTTATAGCTCAAGTCACAATCATTGCAGTGAATATCGTTGAGACTTGGAAGGAACACAGCCAAGATATAATATGGATCGCGCATCCAGAGAATTGCTTCCCGTTCTACAAACTGGTCACCATTTTCGCGACATTTTTCTCATGTGGGAACTTGTTGGTGATGGTAGCATTGAAATCTAGAGGTCCAGTTTCAGAGAGCGAAAAGGGAGAGTTTTTGACAAAACTCTTGCTATTACCAGGGATTTTTCTAGCTGCTGTTGGCTCCGGATCTGTGTGGTGGTTTAGCTGTTTCTCCCAGGACAACGATTCTGCAGCCAATCTAATTACTGTTTCCGTGTTTATCTTATTGTTGATAATGACTATTCTCGTCTTTGCGGCCTGGCAAACACGCCTCGACCATGAAGGTCAAAAGTTGTCCTCTCTGTTCGACTGTTTCCGTGAATACTTTGGAACTGTGCTATTCGTAATGTTGTTTACGATGTGCATTGGAACTTTGACGATTCATATCTCTATACCTCTCGGCTATGATTCTCTTTTAACCAGAGTGTCCCAAATGAGTGACGAGGCTCTCTACATGTTCATCATGAACTATACCGTCGGTATAGCTATGCCTTTGATCGTTGTGGATTTGGACGAATCGAGCAATCAACAGAAAGACAAAGAGGAGACAAAAGTTATGATTGTTTAGCTCATAGCAATATGCTATATCATTATATTGTGTCGGGCAAATGTAAAACGTACATGCTATTTACCGGGAACGCTGCAGAAGCCTTATTTAGTGGAAAGAATCTTTCATCGACAACTAAAGGTGGAAGGATTTGCGAACAGCTTAATCACCCCTGGGCTGATACCAGGGGAAAGCCAAGCCAGGCCTCTGAAAGCAAGGAAGAAAGGAATTTTTTTTAACTAAAAAATAACTAGGCGACCTATTTTCACCCAAAAGCTGTTTATATTTCTCGCAGCAGTGAGGAATTAAGCTAATTTGCAATTTGGAATTCAACAGACTTCGGCCTGTTTTGCGTCTAAAACAAGCAGATAAATTAATTCTATTATAGCGAAATCTTGATTTTTGGGACTGACCAGTAAATCTTTGAAGGGATGGGGAAGGGGAGGGGATGTTTGATAATCTCATTAACAATATCCTTCAAAAACAAAAGGAACGGACCGAAATTTTACATCCAGTTGATAGTGCCATATTTTCAACTAAAAACACGGGGATAAAAATTTGATGTAGCGATAGTTGGATTGGAAAAAGATTCTCGCCAGAATTTAAACAGCTCCCCCCTTCCCCCCCCCCCCCCCCCCCCCTCGACCCAAATGCACACATACACTTCATAAGTCTAGTGGTAAGACCGTCATTCTACAGTTTGGAGAAGTCGTGGCGCCTTTCAATGGCTTTTCAAGTATCCTCCTTTACAATATCTTCCTCTCTAAGGGTTGATTTCCACCGTCGCGTAAATAAAATAGAGGCACTGTATTAGGTCGTCCGTCTACGTAAAAGTTGAGTGAGGTTCAACTTTTACACGCAACCTTCCATACATTGCCTCTATTTAATTTACGCACGTAAAAGGTACTGACAGAGGAAACCCACCTTAATGCAAAAAAGTGACCTTTCAAGGTAGTAGAACTGTTATAATCGAAGAGAAAATTAGCTCTTGTATAAATGCATTCATCAGTTTTGAAAGTTAATATCATCAATATTACAGAAGTTCCGGAAATAGAAACAAGACGCCGGATCTTTATTCGTCAAGATCTGAAAATAGAACAGAAAGATGATGTAAAATATCTGGGAGTTCATATTCATTCGATAAATATCTCAGTTGGTAGCCACAGAAACAGCATATGAATAATGAAATATCTCTATAACTGATGGGCATCATTGTAGTACACGTCCTATAAATTTTCTGATTCAAAGGTTTTGGAAACCGGTGCCACCGAATAAAAATACAATTTCTGTATCAATCAAACTTGATTTTACTGCCGCTCTGCTTGGTTATATCAGCGATTTAGTTTGAGTTGTTGTTGTTGTTCTGGTTGTTGCTTTTGCCGCCACTTGTTTGTACGTGACGGTGGCGGTGGCGGTGTCCAACATATGTACAGTTGAACCTCGATATAACGAAGGGCTGAGGGACTGGCAAAATTTGTTCGCTTTAACGAGGTTTAATTTTTTCGTGTGTCTTTTTCATTTATTTTGCTATTACTGGGGTAAAGAAAATCGTTCCTTATACCAAGGGCTTTGTTGCCCCCGCAGGGATTTCGCCCAGAAGGCGAAATCCCGAGGAGGCACTCTAGTAACTCGCGCGTATATTAGAGAAAGTACTTACAGTTGAAATATACTGAGTAATACAGTCAATATAGAAAAAATCTCGATTTGCTTGAACAGGGGACGCGAGGAATCGGTAGGTAACAAGAGAGGATAAAGGGGACAGAGAAGGCATCCTCCACACACACCCTATTCCATAGGTAATTCGTCTCGAGTTATTTTTAAGACCACAGATCCCAAGGGGGATTAGACAACAGCCAATCACATAGCGCGAATGTGTTCCGCGTGGATGACCCACGCTCAGAGCCACGCGTCCTTCACGAATTGAGGCAGAAAAAAATGGCGGAAGACGCGGAGAGCAATATTGCTTTTTGTTTTGTCGACGAAAACGACTAAAGAGAGATTTCTGCTAAAGCTGTGTCAGCGAAACGGAAATTAAAAAAAGAATCGCCCTTCCTCTCTTGTATAGAGCTAACAGTACAGCAGGGAAATCTACAGTTTGGAGAGAGCAATTTCTGGTTTGATATTTATTCTTTTATTAGTCTTTTATTATTCAACAAAAAATAACACTTGACGTCCTATAATAATAATGATAATAATTTAATAGCTTCTAGAGCGCTATTTACATTCACTGATCAACAGCGCTTAACAACTTAAAAAAACTACAATAAAATTCAAATTTGTAAAACTAATATTACTTGCTACTTGCTTTATTGTACAAACGACCGGTTTCATTAGACCGGCGAAATTTCTCATTTTATTAAAGCACTGAGGTTACGATAACTTCGAGTTAAACTGACTTCACGGGTTGTCAAAGAGTCGAGCGATTCCCTTTTCCCAGGTGAGCGCCGACTCATTTCGCTTCAATATCAGAAATGCTCTCGATCTCTTTACGCTTTCATTGCCTTTCGCCCGACATGTTTTGCATGCGAAACCTCCACGAAACATCCACGCAGCGAGCGAGGTAACTTTATCCCGATTCTAAAAATAACTCGAGACGAATTACCTATGGAATAGGGTGTGTATGGGGGATGCCGTCTCTGTCCCCTTTATCCTCTCTTGGTTTCTATTGTTTGCGCCCGCAAGTACGAAATGGTTAGGATGATGTAAACACAGAAACTCCCGAAGGGACAGCTTACAGTAGGTAGATTTTGTGACATGAATTGTGTAGTCATACTTCGATACTCTTTTGCGATACGTGTTATCAGTGACATTCTGTGGAGAAGTTGTTATGAAAGTTATTGACCAAAAGACACTCGTTAAGCGCAGATGAAGTTATAAGGTGCGTAGAACAGTGACTATATGCGAGTTTGCTAGACACGAGTTCACAAATCTTCTGATTGGAAACCTTCAGCTGAACTTTCTTTTTCTTTGACCGGAATAAGACTCGGCCCAAAACAAGCAAGACGAGTGAACAACGGCTAGCTTATCACTAGCAGAACGATGGACGATTACCGAAATTCGCCGACCATCAAATTCTGTGCTGACTTATTCCCTGCTCACAGATGTCCTTCCACTATAAAGTTTAAAATAAAACTAGAATGCGCGAGCGTGAATTGATCAAACGTCCTTCTAAGGCTTACTTTCCGGCAAATAAAATGAACTAAATGTAAAAAGTGAAATAGAAATAGCGAAAAATTAAACTTGTAATTAAATCTTTTCTTATGGTTTAGAATAAACTATTCTCGAAACGGAGAATGTTTTGATCAAAGCTGTGTAAATCGAACCGAAACTGTGCATGGAACCTTGCGTTTATTCCTGTATTTATCTCACCTATTGTATGGAATATGTGTGAACATCTTCATTATGAATCGGTGTGTTTCAAAGAGCTACACAACGAGCAAGAATACTATACAGAGCGGGGGCAGCTGTAGTGTCAACTATTACTAGTTATATATAGGTTCGTTATATCGAGGTCCACCGTCTTGATTTGCAATATATTGTGAACTCAAGGGGTTTAAGGCCTGGGTCAAAGGTGTGTTTGGAGCATATGAATGATTAGAAATGGACTACTTGCACTAAGAGGTCACGTGACCAATGCTTTCTTTAAACAATGAGTAGCGCGTAAAAATTATCTTACAACCAAAATTTGATTGACAGCTGTGAAAGGTTTGAAAGGCGTGAGTCATTTCAAAAGTAGGTGAGTTTAATCGTCCGGGTGAACGTAGTCCTGAATAGGACTGTTGTTTTTGACAGCGACTGACGTTTCGACAACTTGTGCGGTAGTCATCTTCAGAGTCAAAGTGAGTTGTATCACGTCCGTTGATGGTATTATACTCTGGGTATTGATCTGATTCCACGTTCCGATGTTATTGGTCGTCTGTCAGTTAAGCTGTGATGTTATTGGCGATGAAGACTCGTAATCAGTAACTGGTGCGTTTCGATCCGTCTATCGTCACAGTTAAACAGTCGTCTATTGTTAGTCAAATTGTCAGTTCTCAGTTTTTCTTAAAACGTTACCACATCATCTTTTCAACAATTTCCTTGAAATTTAAGTGCAAATTTCTGTTCAGAAAGAGGTAATTCATAGTTTTAAAAAATCACATATTGGTCCCTTTACCAGCTATACGAACTTCCTCATTTTAAGAAAATGGTGCGGGTTTGAAAAACACTTCACGTTTGAAATGACCGTCCATTGCACTTCAACAAAAAACTATGAGGCAAAACATCATTTTAAAGGCCCAAATTTAATCTTTAATTATTTAAAACTTAATTTTAAACTTCGCATACATTCATTCCAAACGTAGAAAGTTAGGTATGTTTATCCTCTTTCAGAAATCCCAATTTGTTTATCCAAACAAAGTAAATTCGCCACCAATTCGCCAATTTCTTTCATTTTCAATTTTTGGTCAGACATGTCACGTGACCATAATTAAACGTCAAGACAGAAGAAAAGCTCAAGATTTACTATTGTGGAAAAATCATTTTGTTCTAGGTCTCTTAGCGAGAGATATAGGCCATTTGCGCTGAGGGGTCATGTGACATCATTTTTATGAAAATGAAAGTTATATGATTTTGCCTTCAAAAAATTATTAGTGGGTCATATCTTAAACAAAATAATAGTGAATATGAATTAGAAAAATGTTATCTCTCAATTCTTGTCTTAAACCGCCCACCAACTCGTCAATAATTTACGATTTTTACCAAAATGGTCCCGTGACATGTCACGTGACTTATTAACACAAAATTTATACTTTAAAAATACTAATGTTAAGGACAATGAGTTCTTTATGTGTGCCAAATCTGATTTTGGTACAACGCCATCATCTTTACCAAAGTAATTTGACACCCACTATTTTGTCCCTGCCTTTCTTTACTCACTTTACTTGACTTTTCCCGAGACGGACACTTAGTGCTGGTCACACAGGTGGTGTCCGTCTTCAAGAGAGTTGACAGAACCCTACCTGGGCGCCAGTGCTTGGGCACCAAGGAAAAAGCTCAAATAAAATTTCTTTTTGTTTTGTTCCTTTTATTTCTGCAGCAGGCTGAAGGTAAAGAGGATGAATCGTACGATGACTCTATGAATGTTGTTCCAAAAACGCCGCAATCCTTGTAACGCACGCCAAAGACGAGAAACGAGTTCAAACGAGCGAGAGAACCCTGATATTCTAAGGACTGGGGCGAAAGTTCCACGGCGTCTGAAGACAAAAAGGGTCGAATGAACCAGGCTTGTTTTGGAGTATCATGAGTGCGCGTAGTACTAGGGAGCTCAATCAACGAAGGCGACGGCTACGAATATGACACTTAAAACGTAAATTTGCGCTGCCTCAAACTTTATCGCGCTTATTCCATCTTCTTTAATTTGTTAGATTTGGAGTTGAATTCTAGAGAACTGTATCAAAGTTCAGGGAAAGAAAAAAGAAAGTTGTTGTCTTGTGTTCCCGTCCTCGACAAAACGTGAAATTAGGCACTTTCACGTTGTAGTCGTGCATCGACGGCAAAGAAATGTACAAAAAGCGTGATCACGTGCAAAGTTGTTGTTTTGCTAATATAAACCTATTGCTTTGTTTCCGTTCTCTTTGCCGTCGCTATTGTCACTCCTTAAGCTCTCCACTGAGACTAACCGCACGGGGCTGAGGGATCGGGGGAGGGGGGTTGGGTGGTTGATGGGTCATGGGTGATGGCGAGCGCGCCATCACTTCACACGCGAAGTTCGTTCAAATTCTACGAAAAATATTATCATCATCTCCATCAACGTCCTTATCATCTTCTTTTTCATGGCCATCTCTCACCATCACTCATCAGCATCATCGTCATCGTCATCATCAGTCACATCCTGAATCGCATCAAGATCTCTCTGATTGGCACCCAGTGCATAAGCAATGCGCATGATGCAGTTCTGCTCTGATTGGCTAAAGTTTAAGTGTCATTTTCCAGTCAGAATATCATCAAAAGGATAGAAATCAAAACACGATATTAAGTGAGCACTACTGTTTTCTTTCTCTCAAGCTGAAACTCTGATTAATTTCCAAGTCGATTCTCACCGAGCGAGAGCGACCAGAGTGCGCATCCAACGAAGACATTTAAGTAGGCCGGGTAGCTGGTAGTGTTCTGGGGAAGCGTAGTGGGAAACCCTCAAAGGGAGCACCAGCGAGCAGCGACGTCTTCGTTTCGCCACTCATTTGCTGAGATCTACAGTTACCAGCCACTGTTGCCTCGATGCGCTTGTGCGGCTGGAGACTAAACCTACTCATTTGCGCGCCTGCCAGACAAAATATCAGTAAACTACCAGCAACGCGGGCTTACCTTTTCGGGATTCACCACACGAGGATTGTCGCAAAGGTGTTTGAGAAACATAGGAAGAGCAGTGGAGTGTAAACAGTACCGGCTGTGACCGGTGGCTTGCTCCTTTTTGTATTTGCGCCGTTAAGCTGAAGAAACTGAAGTCCCAGATTTAACGTTTTTTGCGCCCCAAAAAATCAACTAGAGAGTTTAATCTTCACTTATACAGTTTTCTGAAAATAGAAAACAAGCTGATAAAAACAGCTCAATTAGGCTCCTGGCTCAAAACAGTTCTTATGGATAAAAAATACTAAATTATGTGGAGAAATAATGAACCATAACGACAAGTAAAGGAGAAACTTGGTCACGTGGCACGTGGTACAAATTCGCGTTTACCGTTTGACTTAGTCCAGACTCGTACCCAGTCGCCACAACGCAAAGGAATACGGAAGAGGCAATTTGAAGCGCGCAAGAGCGCTTGGGAAGGAGTGAGAAAAAGTGACGCACCGCGAACTCACTAAATCCTTCCCATTAATCACAGTGCATACAGAGATGCGACTGGGTACGAGTTTGCTCTTAGTCGGGGTGCTCATGGCCCAGACGGTTTCAGGAGAGTGACCGATCCAAAGGCGTTCTTTTTAAAGGGACATTGTCCTAACCGTGATGCGCACGCGCGAACTTCCTTTTTCATTATTTCTCCTTTTCTTTGCTTTTCTTTTCTTAGCGTTGTCTGCATGTATTTAAACCAGTAACGGACTGAAAAGATTTCACTCCAACGGTTTTCTCTAATGATTCAGTTCTATGTTACCTTGTGCTCCTGGTAAGATGATGTTGTACGACTTTGGTGTGAAACAGTATTTGAACTCCCAATACCAGAATTCTCAACGTTGGATTTCAAATGGTCCTGGTTGTTCAATTATTGGATAGCACTATCCAGCGGATAAGCATTAAGAAAAACAATTGCGCTATTCACTTGTATATCATGATTTATTCAGTGGATAGCGGATCCACCTTTCGAACCAAAGTTAGGGGGCTCCTGGGCCTGATGATTTCTAGCGAGTTTTTCCTGCTACGGGATAATATATAAAACGCTGGGCAAAAATTGCATGTAGCATAAGGAATGATTTTGTTTGTTTGTTTGTTCTTTCTAATAAATTTCTCTCTCGATATCAAGTGCAATTAGGCTTCTCGCAGCAACCTCGCGGTTATCTTTTTGACTGGACTTCCGGTGAAGCGTCCACTTGGTCCCAGTTCCACAAGATTGGACGCATAAAAAGAAACAGTCTGGGGTCTGGGGCCAAGTGACACCACGAGGCTGCGAACAATTCAACATGGTGGGCAAATTGGTCGATTTGTTGTGCTTATATTTCTCTATCGAGGTGAACTTGCCTTCAGTCTCTTGATTATCGTTCTTCTCATTTTTTTCTTAGGTGTTGTATGTATTGTATGAACATGCTTCGGGTTATGCTGTCTTCAAAGTTGTTAGCCAAGAAGAGATCGGTGTCCTATTACCTGAAGTGCAAGAGTCGGTCACTGATCTTTCTCGATTCGGAAAGTTAGTGAAACTAGCAGCATTTTCGCCGTTTAAGTCGGGAGCCAATGCTTTGGACAACATCAACTGCATATCAGAAGGTTTGTTGTCTTCATAGTTGGAAAGGGGGTCAGTGGAAAACGCAGACTGCGGCTATAATTGTTTTCACCATGCAAATGAGTACTTGACAACATGGTCGTATTGTTTTCTAACCTTAAAAACAATAGTCCGCAGTCAGTCCGCAGTCTTCATTTTACACTGCCCCGTTGGAAAGGTTATAGTTGCTGAAATTCGAATGATCAAAATGCAAATCATTGTGCTGAAATTTGCACTGTTTGATCTACATTTTTATGATCAATTTGTTAATTAAGGCGAACCAATCGCCTATTTCTTGAATTATGCTCTCGCTTGGTCGTCCTTTATTCTAGGTGGAAAGCTATAATAAGTAAACCTGGCCACTTATATACAGGGCTATCAACCCCCTACTTCTTCAAATATTAGGCTGATTTAGCAACAGAATGGGAACGTCAGCTGACGACGGTGCACGCAAATCAAACAACTGGCTTGAACAAAGGCAGAGTGACAAATTGGGCACCAGAAGTCAAGTTTAGTCCTTTCCACGCACTTTCCTGTTGTCAAATGATGTTCCCATTCAGCCTATTGAGAATTGTTGGGAAGGGATGATAGATGATTTCATAACGCACTGCACATGATGTCATTTGTGCAAAAAATACTCATTGGTTCTCTCCGCACAGGCCAAAACATTTGACCTGATTGGTTTACTTTCCACCAATCACATTATTATGTTTCAATGGCATACCGGCTGGTTTATGAGGAAACGTGTGATGTTAACATTAAAATAGCTCAAACAACGCAAAGTATTTGAATTTTATTGTCGGAAAGTCAAGGCTACTGAAGAAAGGGCAACCTTTGGCAATTATCCAGGAGATACGGTCCAAAAACTGGAGTCTCCTTACCCCCTCTTGGATGCATTGTAACAAAAGTTTTGTGAAAAATTGCCCAGACTGTAACATACACTGTTCAAAGTGATTTTGTCTTGCGCTGTTTTCGTTACAGCTGACATTTAATGAATCAAGATGCACTGATTGTTGCATCAATATGTTGAGATGGGACTTTTCATTTCAAGCAAAGGGGTCTTATATTGGGCATATCTTGTATCACTTGTCTTGTAGAACATAGTTGTGGGTCAAGTTAAAAGGAAAAAATAGTTAACTCAACATAGCCTTTACTCAGTAATGTTAGGTATACTTTGCAGTTAAGCCAGTCTACCTTGTGGCATTTTTTAAGGAAACAGTTATTGTTGGAGAGTAGGAAGCTGAAATTGGATCTCTACAGGACCTGAACTTAGACGATTCCTAGAGGACCAATAACGTCTTTCCGGAAGGCTTACATGTGCAAATATCACCTGCTTCTGTGGGCTATATTGATGGTTATTTTCTGGTAGAATACATCACAAGTCATTTGATTGTTAATTTTTATTGTTATTTAATTCCTATGAATTAGGTATCATTCACGATGATCTCAAGACGTTTCTGGAGGCAAATGTACCAACTGGCAAAAAGAAAAGCAAAGTTCTTCTTGGAGTGGGTGACTCGAAACTTGGCGCAGCCATTCAGGAAACAGTTGACATCCACTGTGAATCTGGTGGACTGGTACTCGAAGTTCTCAGAGGGATACGCTTTCATTTTGAGAAGATGATCAAAGGATTAACTGGGCCAATGGCAGCCAAAGCTCAGCTGGGCCTGGGGCACAGTTATTCCAGGGCAAAAGTGAAGTTTAATGTTCATCGCGTCGACAACATGATCATTCAGTCTATCAGCTTGCTGGATCAGCTTGACAAGGACATTAACACTTTTTCCATGAGAATAAGGTATATCCAGTACCTCTTTTTGTTTTGAGTTTGTATTTTATGGTTATACTATGCAGCTTATCATGTGAAGCAAATTAGGCAGGTACATCTTTGAGCAGAGGCACTCAGTGGATTTGTGCTCTATGACCAAATAAGTGTGCCTCTCATTTTTTGTAAATGTATATAATATTCATTTTACAAAAATACACACACCCGTAGTTAGCAAGAGCTACTTGATGATGTGGTGGCAAGCAGTGGCTACACAAAATATTAATGTTAATAGGAGCATATTAAATACTTTTAAGGACCAAAAGGAAAAAAAATAATTTAAGTATGTAATACATTAATGTACAACCAACATTATGACACTGTGAAGGGCAAACATAAAAAGCTGAGGTTTCATGGTATTTTCTCTATTAAATCAGGGAAATCAGTAACAATTTAATATTATTAAGTTATTTTTTGTGAAAGTCTGTGAAGTATAATATGGTGGATATTAATTTCAACTTTGTATATTATTTGGACAGTGGACGCATTTAATTTGGGCATGGTTGTTAATAAAAGGCACTTAAAATATCATTGAAATGTTGGTGTTGATCTAGGTTTGTTTTCTTATTTCATAACAGAGAATGGTACTCTTATCACTTCCCCGAGCTTGTCAAAATTGTTTCTGATAACTACATGTATGCAAAGACTGCTCAATACGTCAAGTCACGTAAGGACTTCACTGAAGACATGCTTGAAGGCCTAGAAGAGATAGTAATGGATTCAGCAAAAGCCAAGGCAATTTATGATGCTTCTAAATCTTCAATGGGTAAGTCAACTGCTAGTGTGTACATTGCATGTTAGAGGTTAAAATTAAATTCAGGTAAAAAAAAACTTTTAATGTAGGTTGATTATCAGTTTCCTTTGTCTTCTAGCCCTAATTATTCGTGAATTACAGTGGGGCTAGGAGACTATGGAAATCGAGAATCAACCTAGGTTAAAAAATTTAAACTGAATTTAGTTTTAACCTGTATCATGTACATGTAATATTTTACAGAATCACAATGGTGTGCTGATGGCTTCTTATTCATGAGGACTGTTCATTCCCAATGTGTGTTACATGTATCTCATTTGCATGAATATCTGGGCATATCTTAGAACTGTATCGCCTTAGTGATTCAAGGCAAAATTAATTTGCATGCAGCTTTCATTGGTTGGAAGAATAATGCAAATGGAGAGCAAGTGAATTTGGAAAAATATGTTAAAGCTGTTTTCCTGAACATTACTTGTCATGATGAATTCTTGTATCAACAAGACTCTTTTCAAATCCCTGAACTTTTTACTTTGAGCCTTAAAGTCGATGTAATGCAGCATCTAATGCAAGTCTATTGTGAGCCATTCAATCACTGCTAGTTGTTGTTAACAGAATGGAATGTGAGCGGATTTTTTCAATATTTTATCTTATTGCTTCTATATATATTTTCTTTTTGGTTGTTGTTGTTTTTCTTTAAATAACCTTATAGGGGAAGCACAATTACTGGTAACCCAGAAAGTTATGTTGTGTCCCATAAATGAGGCCAGAAACAAGTCATTTGAACATAAACATAACAAGGTTGAGAATCCCAACTTGCTGGAGACAAACCAGTTGGCTATTTACAAGGGTCGCCAAGGATTGCACTTTCAGTGCTCCAACCACCCAGCAATGCTGCCTTCCCTTTTTTTTAACTCTTAATGTTCCTGCCTGTTTCAAGTAGTTTCAGCCCTTTTATGTGTGTATACATTATAGCTTAAAAATTACAAAAAGACATAGGATGTCACATGACCTGAAATGAGGAAACAAATAGAGTAAAACATCTGTTAAGAGAAAATGAGTATCTACTTACTCAGCTGCACTAGTGAAAGAACCTTTTTAAATAAATTCATGCAGGGCGATAAATTATTATTCTGAGTCATCCAACATTCCTTTTTCTTCATGACTGACAAATTGATCTTATTATCTTTTCCCCATAGGAATGGATATCTCACCAATTGACTTGATAAACATCCAAACCTTTGCATCACGAGTGATAGGCCTTGCCGAATACAGAAAAAGTCTCCATTCCTATTTGGTGTCTAAAATGAATCAAGTGGCCCCTAACTTGTCCGCTCTCATCGGAGAACAGGTATTTACAATTTTTCTGTCTTCATCAGTTAACAACTAGCCTGCATCGGATGGCAGTTTTGGTTGGGCGCACTAAATAATAAAGGCATGCAAGGGTAGAGCAACCACGAGGAGACTGGGGTGGGAGCAACTTGAAAAACCAAGTATTTGTTTCTTGCGGCTTCGCTGCTTGTTCATTTTTGCGGCTATGCCACTCAGTTATGCTCCTGATGAAACCACCATGCTACGCAGGCTTATTAACAACTGCAACTGGTGTGTTACTTGCCCACTCTCATCACATTTTTGTTAAGTTAACATAAACTACTTTAACTTCTCTATTAAGCCCCCCTCTAATAAGTCCCCCCCTCTTTTCAGGGGAAGAAAGTTAATAAGCCCCTCCCTAACCTCCCCTAATTATTCTTCACTAATAAATGATAGATTGTATTAATCCTCACCAACTGTAAAGCGTTGTGTGGACTGATCCGGCATGGTTTATTTACCAACGGAAAGTTCGGATTTGATTCTGCTCCTCGGCTGCATGACCTTCAGTCTTCTTGTACTTGAGCTTTTCCACTTTGTATCCTAGTTCTTTATGGAGAACTGATACCATCATCTTTTCTGAATTAAATAAGCCCCTGTCTCTGTCTCTGTCCCCCCCACCTTCTCCCCTCAAATCGGCTCGAAATAAATAAGCCCCCCAAGGGGGATTAATAGAGGATTTACGACATGATAACAACTACAAGATGATTTGTTGGTCTCTTTTCTCCATGACGTGGTTCTGTATGCCATATACCATGGATGCTTGGCCAATCAAAACTCGGGCTCCCTACGCTAATCGCCATGGTAAGAATACATCTGCATACTTGTGAATCAGATACTTGTACAGACTCTTTACCAAAATGCAGAGCTACTGATATCATTAAGCTCAATAATGATATTGGTAATGTTAATGGAGAGGATAATGACTAATCCAGCAATGTTCTTTATGTGTTAGGTTGGAGCACGGCTGATTTCCCATGCTGGTAGCTTGACAAACCTGGCAAAATATCCTGCTTCAACAGTTCAGATCTTAGGAGCTGAGAAAGCCCTCTTTAGGTAAGGTTTGCTGATAACTCTGATAACTGATTGGGTCCACAATGTTTTGATAAAGAAGTAAACATGTTTTACCTTGAAGATCCAAGTTCTTAACCCGTAACAGAACCGAATTGCAAATATAGTAGATCATTATTTTTCTTGTTAAATGTCGCGGCTGTGTTGTCGATTCAGCTGGCATAGTGATTCTCGCGACATCTTGGAAGATTTAGCAAAGACAATGCGACGACACTGTCGACGGCAAGCGCAGATCTAGGATCTGGCTCTACCAATGGCAGAGCAGTAAATTGATCACCGGAAGTCGCGTTTAGGCCTTTCTGCACACTTTCCTGTTCTCATTTGACGTTGAAAACGCGAGAAACGGTTCGCGATTGATAACTAACTTTTGAACAGTCCTTTATATGGATGGAGCAAAACGATTCAAAAACGTTAGTAAGGATGCAAGTGGACATAAGTGGATGGCTAGAAAAAAAAAACAGATTTGCTGCAAATAACTCTGCAATTTTCTTGCTCTCTGCAGAGCTCTAAAGAAGAAAGGTAACACTCCAAAGTATGGCCTTATATTCCATTCATCGTTTATCGGCCGCGCTGGTACCAAGAACAAGGGCCGAATCTCAAGATACTTAGCAAATAAGTGCTCTATCGCCTCCAGGATCGATTGCTTCTCAGGTAACGTATTTACTCTACCAAGAACTTTGCTAGCAGATACGTTAAATGTCGAGAACTGCAGGGCATAAGTTTTTTCTCTTTAACTTGCGTTATTATCAGTTGTACAATAAACTAGCGTGAGAAAACAGCCGACGTTTCGCGAAGACACCACTGGTTCCCCGCGAAATGACATCAGTGAGGAACGAACGCAGAAATTCCATACTGATGACGTGTCACTTCTCAGATCTGAAATGAATTTCTTTTTTAATCGAAATGAACAGGAGCCTATGAAATGAAATGATTTGTAAATAGTGCTTTGACCGAATAGTTTTTTTTTCTTCAGCGAGATTAATTGTAAATAGGTACTATTATAATAGCAATAATAATAATAATAATAATAATAATAATTATTATTATTATTACTATTAGAGATTTATATTTTAGCAATAGATTTATATCTCGTCTAATGGATCAGCACCTTAGCTGTATTATTAAAATCAGCGCATTGACAATTATTATTATTATTATTATTATGGCGAAGACTTTGCCAAAAAAAAAAAACCGTTTCTTTCGCCACTTGGTGCTTTACAGCTCATCGTTGACGAAAACAGTCAATATCAATGAATTATCTCTCTTAGTTCCTTTAAAATCTTCCTAAACGATTCTGGGCATTAAATGATGAAAGTATAATTTTGGGTGGATTCAAGTGAATGTTGGAATTTGTGATTTTTCGTCATTGTACAGAAACGCAGTCGTGTGTATTCGGCCAGAAGCTGCATGAACAAGTGGAAGATAGGCTGAAATTCTACGAGACTGGAGAGGCTCCACGAAAGAACATCGATGTGATGAAGGAAGCCATCGCTGAGTTCGAGGAAAAAAGCCAGGAAGCGAGCGAAGACATGGGCGAAAAGAAGAAAAAGAAAAAGAAAAAGAAGGAGAAAAAAGAAAAAGCTCAAGCTGCCGAAGAAGAGCTGGAGAAAGATACGACAATGGAGGACTCCGCAGTCGTGGAAAATGGTCACGAGGAACCAGGGAGCAGCAAGAAGAAGAAGAAGAAAAAGGACAAAGGAGAGAAGAGAAAGGCAGAGGAAGAAACGGAAGAGGTGGAAGCTGAACCAACCAAGAGTGAAGAAAGCGGTGAACCAGTTAAGAAAAAGAAGAAAAAGAAGAAGAGAACCGATGAGGAATAATTCATAATTGTTCTGTGAAGAAAATTGTAATAAACTATTCGCGTTAGCTGCTTGTTATAATGATGCATTGTGGTGGAAAAGTGTTTTTTTTTCCTTTGGTCCTATTTTTGCTAAGTGATGTTGCGCCGAAATGAAGTGGAGAATGATATACTTTTTGTCTTATACTGTAAATTAAAGGACAGTTTATGTTCAGTGGCTTTTTTCCTGGTTTTGTTTGCTCATAGTCACGATAGTATATTTTTAAAGGCTTCATGGTATTTACCAAATAATTGTTGAATGAGGCTGCAGCGTATGACATGAAGAATTATGCATATCGAAGAGGGAGTTATCCCCTGACGACTGCAGTATTTCGTTTTATCCCATGAAAGCCGAATTCAATAATTGTATTATTCATTCAAGATATTTCCAAATTAAAACATGTTTACCTCCAGGTATGTAAAGTTAACGTCTTGAAATCATTTGCCTGTTTCTCGGCAAATTTTTAAGTTATTAGAGAGATGTAGAGTAACGTTTACGGCAAACGTGAGATTCATGTTGAGAATTTCTCAAAATAGAAAACTGTGCAGATAAAAACATGAAACGGTAAACTGATCCTTACGGCAAGGCGATAAGGAAGTAAACAAAAGAATGAAAGAAAAAAATATTTATTTAAACAAATTTTTGTTTTATTCTTTTTTGTTGTTGTTTTGTTTTGGTTTTATTCTTTTGTTTACTTCTTCATCGCCTTACCGTAAGGATCAGTTTGTCGTTCGTATTTTTCTTCAAGTTGTTATTGTACTGATGCTACAACTGGGAAATCCGGTACCACTCATTGGTTTGTCGCTGTGGATTTGCTGATATTTTATATACATATCTTTAGATAAAGACAGTCCGATTAATATTGTTATGCACAAAACTAACGTGATACTACAGGGGCACCCAACCAGAATATAGTTCAAAACCACTTAAACACAGCATTGTTAAACGTATTTTAGTATTTAAACGGTAGATATAGGCATATTTTTATCCCCTAAAAATTTTTCAATTCTGATTTCCTAGCTGAAAGTTTAGTGATCCGAAAATTATAGGGATCCAAACTTACTTTTTCGAAAATTTCAGCTTGGAAAAAAGCTCCCGAAAATTCTAGGTGACCTTTTTAGGGTAAAACTTCGTTAAAAGTGGGCAATTATACCAGTTTTTAGATGTTCGAAAATCCTAGGAGAGGCAGGCAAGCAAGAAATTTTACAACAAATGTTCCGAAAATTCTAGATCTTAAATCGTCTTCCGAACAGATATTTTCCCAGAATTGACGTTGGGTGTCCCTGATGCTATTCATTTCGGAGTAGTCCAGATTTCATCCGATTGCTTCGAGTCGTTTTCTCCTCTCAACTGAGAGATTAATAACGATTCGAGGTAATCGGATGAAATTCAAGCTAGAAGACCTTGTGAAAAGATAAAAAAGAAAAACCAAGTTTCGAAATTTTTTTTCCCGAAAGTTATCTTTCCATTTAAGATTGCTCCCGGAATTTGTAGAATTTCCGGTAGAATGGTGTGCATTTCGGAAATGCAACAGATTCCGGAATTTCTGGAAACTTTTGCGACAAATTTCTGTACCATTTACCGCTGTTTCCAAATTTGGGGGAGTGTCGGTTGAAAGTAAAGCGCCCAGGGTAACCTGTGGTCTGTCGGTTGAAATTTCGTGGACACTTACATAACGTTACTTTTGACTTGAGCCTCGTGCAACGTGCAAGTTCGAATTTACAGTTTTTATGTTTGGTCTTCTAAATCATCTTCGCCCACTATTTAACTCCAGTAAGTCCATCCTATCAAGGTTTAAGCACAGCATGCGTTTAGTTCAGTTCTTTGAAGATGAAAGACAGAGAGTTGGGGTTGAGATCCAAACTGGCGGAGATATAATGGATATCAGTGCTGGGGATCCTTCCATTCCTAGTGATATGAAATCATTTTTGGAAGGAGGTGAAGGAATGATGTTGAAAGCTAAGAGGTTTGCATTGCATTTTTGTTACCGTTCCCACAATCTCTTTTCGATATTTTAATAGTGCTTGCTATTTAGGGGCAGCTACATAAAAAAATATATATATGTGAAGGGTCAAATAGTCCTTTTAGCTTGGATGTTTTGTTTTCCCATTTCAGACAGATTTTGGGTCCTGCATGTAAGCATATTGGTAATGGTAATAGGACTGAGTGGAATACAATTCGGTTTGTAATCATACGAGTGATTAACAGCGGGAGTGCGATTTGTTTTATAATCACTCGTATGATTACAGACCGAATTGAACTCCACTCAGCTCAGTCCTGTTACCAATTAATCATAACTATACCACAATTAATTTGTAATATTTAGGCTTTTTTAAACTTAGTCATAGTCTTCTGTGTAGTCTGAATTTCGAAACCGGTTGTTTTGCATTGAGGAGGCCATGCCCCTTTCAGTATTTTACAATATTATTGCGATGGTTCACGTCGTTGCAGCAGTTTCAACACCATCTTCATTTCATTTGTGGCCATTTTAAAATTTTGCCTGTCAAAGTGTTACCCTAAGTTGGGTTTGTTATACAGTGAAACCTGTATTAAGCAGACACCGTATTAAGCGGACACCCTCTATTAAGCGGACAGTAGCTGAAGTCCCCAAATTTATTTCCCTTATTTTCTGTAAATGAAACCTTTATTAAGCGGACGTGGACACCTAAAAAGTATCTGAAATGGTCATTTCTATTGTTGCCAACCTGTATTAAACGGACACTTGTAACTGAATTCCACCATCCAACATGCCAGACACTGGAAATGTGAAAGATTGCCTCGAATTGCCACCCCAAAAATTTTTCGATTTTTACATTAAAAAACATGCCTTGACGAACTTATTTGATCATTTTCTCAGTACAGTACTGTTTCCTATTTCATTTTGTTTGTATAGAGCTTGTTTCACTTATCTGATTTCTTCAATTTTGAGTTGCAATCTACGTTTATGGTACTGTGATCAAATTGGTCCACTTTGATGAAGAAATTAGTGCAAACGTATAGCGTCATAGTCTCTGGGACTATTCTAAACGTTTCCACTGTTCATTTCAATGGCATTTGACACCTCGTGTGACGTTATCTATCGAAACCTGTATTAGGCGGACACCCTGCATTAAGCGGACACTACAGCATTCCCCAAGGGTGTCCGCTTAATACAGGTTTCACTGTATTCTTTGTCTTTTCTTCTTTTTATTCCAAGTTTGTTCTAAGCATGTTACACGAATGATTTCAGTGTTGTTGATCATGGTCAGCATATTCTCAAGAGAACAGAAGTAAAGCTGAAGGCTCCAATTCACAACCCTGGAAAAATTATTTGCATTGGAATGAACTACGTGGACCACTGCCTTGAACAGAATGTTCCAACACCCACAGAACCCATTCTTTTCAGCAAGTTTAATAATGCAATTACTGATCCAGGAGCACCGATCATTTATCCCGATGAAACAGAGGTTTGCATAACACTTTGGTTTAGTTCCTTTTTGATATTGAAATGAAAGATTTGCCCCGGTGAGTTCTTTATTTCAAAAATTTAACACACAAGATGCATACCAATTTATTTGGCCATATTTTGTTTAATTTCAAGAATGTTACTTTGATTTCTTTCTCACAGGAATTAGACTTTGAAGTAGAACTTGCTTTTGTAATTGGGAAACCAGGAAAGAATATTAAGGTATTTTGTTCAAGGCAATTATAGTTGATTTACTTGTGGTTTTTATCATGTAGAGTCGTGTATGATGGGAGCTTAAGATACGTGTATACTATTAATTTTTTGCTTCCTTGTCAGCATATTCTAATAAGGGTACATTTCTTCAGGAAAAGTGGAAACAAAATAATGGCCTAGTTCAGTTATTCAAGACTATATTTAGGCACTGAAACTGTTTTCTGTCATCTGTTGCAAAGGAAAAGTTGGGCCAACTTTTTCAATTTTTAATGCTATGCCTGCAAAAATCAACAAATTATGGTTAGTGCTCCATGATAAAATGTTTTTGATATCTACTTCATTAAACTATACAGGTGGAGCATTTTGTGTATGGGTAATTAACTTATATAGGCACTAATACTAGTAATAACTGAAGGTTACGGAGTGCAGGTGACAATGAAAGGTCAAAATGCTTTTGCTCCAGTGCTGTGCTTTGTGTAAGTTTCACATGACAGATGGTCAAAACACATGTGATTAGATATGAAAGTACATTCTGTGAATTCCATACATTCTTAGTGGAAGTCCAAACGAATGCTGGCTATGCGACACTTGCGTAATAACAACCTGGAGATTAGGATTGCGGGCTCCTCTTGTCGCCTGCCATAAATAATGACTTCAGCTCAGAACTGACCTAAAACAGCAATATCATCATGACATGTAGCTGCTTTAAGAGATCAGAGGTGATTGTTGTTTACCCATAAGTTAAAAATTAACTCCTTTATTCTGTTTCTAAAACCTTGATTATATTTCTCAGAAAAGTGAAGCCATGGACCATGTGGCTGGGTACACTGTGGCACATGATGTTAGTGCTCGGGATTGGCAGCTGAAGAAAAATGGTGGACAGTGGTTGTTAGGAAAAACGTTTGACTCATTTTGTCCACTTGGTCCAGCCATAGTCACCAAAGACTCGCTGTCAGGTAATGAGTGTGACAAGAAGATGAGAAAAGAAGATGGTTAGAGCTGTGAAAGGAAAGAAAGATAGTAATTTTATAACAAACTAAGCAGCAGGTTGGACATGAAGACAGCAATGATTTATTAAGAATTTAGTTTTCTTGTTCTGGATGCAGCTGGGAACTGAAGTGCAGTGGGTAATCCCACTTTATTGTCACAGTTTGGATTCACCAGGTTTGGGCCAAACTAGACTACAAAACAGTTTGTTTACAGTCTCTTTGACCTACTACGTTATATGAGGGGGACATTGGGGGGTACCCAATACCGTGATACCGTAAGAATGCCAAACACTGAATGCAGAACACCAAATGACTCTAAAGGTTAGTGATTAGGGTTAGGAAGCTGAGTGAATCAAGTTTTAGGTCAGTTTCCCATTTTAATGTCCCTAAAATTAATGGAACTTGATTCACTCAGTTTCCTAACCTTAATCACTAAAGTTCAGAGTCATTGGGTGTTCTGCTTTGGGCGTTAAGAGAATGCAGAATGCCAAATGATTCTGAAATTTAGTGATTAGGGTTAGGAAACTGTGTGAATCAAGTTTCAGGTCAGTTTTTCTCAGTATAATGTTCCTAAATGGAACCTGATTCACTCAGTTTCCTTAGAAACCCTAATCACTAAACTCAGAGTCATTTGGCATTCTGCATTCAGCGTCCTTTAAAATACCCCTACCACTAATGCAAAGGTAAACCAGAAATAATGCAGCCCCAAAAGAATTAACTTTTTACCGGTACTTTAGGTTATCTCCATTATATAATAGTGTACGTATAATTTTATAATAAATTAAGACTTCAAAGTTAATTACCGGTACTAACAATGTATCATGATGTGGTGTTTGTCTTGACAGTGCATTTTTATTTTTCAGATCCTCACAAACTGGGAATTCGTTGTCGTGTTAATGGAAAAGTCATGCAAGACTCGAACACTGAGAATTTAGCATTTAAAACAGAGGAATTAGTTTCTTATATATCAAGGTGAGAGTTCATCAAGCCTTATCACAGGAAATTTTTATTGGTCTACACAGGTTGTGAAGACAGACAAGGTTTTCATTTGCTTTCATACGCGAAAATGAGGGTGGTTAAAAATTGCTCTTGTTTGTTTAGAAGTGCTGAAAATCTATGACCAATACCCACAAAACTTAATAGTGGAGCTCCATGCCGGCAAAGCGCGCGAGTGGAGCCCCATAGTTAAGAAAATTTGGTAATCTATCCATCTGAGAAAATGTTATGACATCAGCATATGACCAAACGCTGACCATACAGACTCTAGGGGAGGGGGAGGGGAGTAAGGAGTCAGCCTGTCGGGGGAGGAGTATGTTATAGCTGAGGTGAATTTCAAGCACCCCACTCATTTTGGCAGTAAATCACATGGTCATGCGGACTTTTTAGAAAAAAAAAACGAGTCTTTCATTCCACTAAATTTTAATGTCTACATTAACTTGGATAACAGGGAAAGAGGTAGAGTGAGAAATAAATAATGGAGACCAATTATCTTCGTTGGAAGAAAAACATGAAAATTACATAGCAGCGGTACGAGTGTACTGCACATGCAAAGTTTTTTGTATACCATTCTCGTTGTTTTCAACTTGTCTACAGTATTACTCAATTTTATATTTTCTTTGAGGAAACTATCAATATTAAAGAGAGCTCTTTTAGCCGTGCATGTGGCTAAATCTATATATTTAACTTGTCCTCAAATTTACTACCAAGAGTTTGTTGTGAAATGATGATTGTTCATCATGCACTTAAATGTTGAAAACCTTAACCATCTTAAATGGTGTTTATCAAAATTTATTGGCACTTAATACCTCATTAAAATTAAAAACTGATGACTAAGCTGTGATATTGTGTCAGTAGAAATGTTGTGGAGTAAATTCTGGAAATCAGGTTTATTTTAGCATCTTGTGGTGATTTGGGTATTAAATTATTAATGTCACCCCCTTTCGCCCTCCTGTCCCTGTCCCCATGTGAATGCTCTGTGCCTCCCTTTGAAAATATAGTGAAACCCCGCCTTCTGGCCACCTTGGTAATACGGTCACCTCGTTATTACGGCCGCTTTTTTTGGCCACCTGGTAAAAAACTGTCATACATTTTCTTGTAAAAAACCCTTGTTAATACGGCAAAATGTTTTTGGCCCATTGGTGACCGTATTAACGGAGTTCAGCTGTAACTGTAAACCGTGATGGAGTACCAGCATGTTCTGTTGATCCTGCAGGTTTGTTACCTTGTCACCAGGTGATGTAGTTATTACAGGAACTCCACCAGGGGTTGGAGTTTTTAGAAAGCCCCCTGTCTTTCTCAAGGTATGTATTCTTTCTCCTGTATCTTTTTTCGTGACAGGAAAGTTGTGGCTTGCTTTTTAACAGCCGTCATACATACAGCTATGAAGAACAGGAGTCAGATTGTTCAAATAAAAATAGGATTATAACTTAACATGTTAAACAAAGACTAGGGAATTTCTCTCTTTTGATAAGTTGGTGGTGATGACATTCACCCCTGCAAAATCAACCTGTGTCCCAAAATCTGTTCAATCTAACACAGTTTTACTTCAATCTGAATCTGAAGTGCACTCTACCAAGTCAAACACACTAATAACAATAATATTTTGTTTGTTTCTTTGCTTTCAGAGGGGTGACGAAGTTGAATGTGAAATTGATGAAATAGGCTGCATTTCAAACACAGTCCAGTAAAAGGGCTATTAGTATATAATTATTATAATTATATTAATAACAGTTCTGTTAATCTTCATGGATTGTCGCAGAGAGTATGTAATCCAGACCCCTTTTGAAACATCAGATAACTAACTCATTACCGTAGGCATTTTGCAGTTCAGTAATTTTTTGGGAAAATCAAGAAACAAACTGTGAATTAAGACACAAGACTCTTCAAATCCTCTGCATTCAGAAAGAGTTTGCATTAAAATCACTCTCATAAGTACGTAAATAAGACCCTTCATCAATACAGTCCAATCTATTTGGACAGTGAAACCTGCATTAAGGAGGCAACTTCACTATAAAGCAGACTATAGCACCTGACTCAAAAAGCTCCAAATGTTTGTTCCCATATTTTCTGCATTGAACAGTACTAGTAAAACTCCCATGGGTGTCTGCTGAAATTATGTTGGTTTTACTACATCCATAGTTCTTGTTTTGTTGTGTTCCAGTATAGAGTTAGAGTTTTGCGTGAAGTGAATTAAAGCATGTTTTATCATCACCTTGTTTCAAAACGTTTCTGGATAATCACAGGCCAATCCATTCTTGTATGTAACAGTAAATTAAAAAGGCCTATGCAATCTGGTATGATCGGTTATGACCAGGATGTAATGCTAATGCACCCTTGTATATCTTAGTTTAGCTACTTACTGCAATGTTATGAATGTAGTAATTCAACTTTTCTTGTTTTAGAAGCTATAGTTGCCAATAATCAATGTGTTCTTGTCGTAGCTTTTATTCTGTTTTGGAATTAAAGACTGAGGTTAATATGCTTGTGTAAATGTAACCAGTTGAAAAAATCTGACAAGTCTCTAATTACCACCACATAATCTGATATGGGTAACAAAATAAATAAGTGAATGTAGTAAATTATGATAACACGCAAAAAATTATTTTTTTCCTTTATTTTTTAATTGCCACTTGGACTACAGTCATAAAATGTAGAATTGCTCACATTAACAATAAAAATACCTATAGTAAACCTTATTATTTTGTTCAGTCTTGTGACCTGTACTTAATCTGCAAAAGCTCATGGAAGCATTATTTAGTAGCCACGCCCTGTTTATTAATAGAAACAATGATCAAAAGAATGTCCTACAATAAATTATTACCAAACTCCTGTCACCAATATAATTTTTATTACACCTTTCATTGTCCTTTTCTTAACTGCAAGATTTTTGTGTCATTGTCATAAATTATCTATTCAATTCCATAGAAAATACCTATTATAAAAGGGTAGCCCATCTTATTCATCTACTCTCTGAATATCAATGTAATCTTAACAAAACTACCCTTACTTGTAATCTGACGAAACTCCTTGCCCTTGTTACCAAAAAAAAGAGAAACACCTACAGCTGCGAAAAGCTTTTTATAATACCCAGTGGCCTGTTTAATTTTAAAGTGAATTCAGTTACTTCAAAGGGCCTTTTGTTTAGCAATGGTCTTTCAAGAAGTGTGAAACCATGGCAACCAATGGAGCTCCAGTTGGGACGAGAGGAAAATCACCACTTGATCCACCAATGTCAAAATGGGAGTAGCGAATGGGTTTGGTGGAGTCAGTACCATGCTAAAATAATAAATTAAATATTTCATATTTCAGTTCTGGCTACTGTCCCTTCTGGCCTATTTTTCCAAGATTGTTTGCAAGGTGAAACAGCTTACAGCTGTAAATTTAGCCTAAGTAGTAGGCCTTCGTTAGGGGTTGGGGCAAGGGGGTAGGGGGGAGATTTCCCCCAGACACACCTGATACTCGGGTGACTTTAAATCTTGTTTTCATAATATTATGGTGAGTGACATCCTGGTCGAGTAAAACATTACCTGTGTGTGGGTCAGTGGAGGTTTTCTCTGCTTCTTAAACCCCATCAACACTGTAGTAAGCTAAGCTTTTAGTTGTCTTTTTCCCCACAATTCAGGAAACATTAAACAGCAAGCTCTTTTTAGCACCCAGGAACGAGGAGGCACTAACTTGAGTTAAGGTGCTTATTTTACTGTGTGGTACCAGAAAATATCCATACCTGCACCCCACCCAGACTTTCTTTGGGCCTCAGGGATTTTAAAAATGTGTGACAGAGCCCTAAAAAGGTCTGCATGGGAGACTAAAAAGCCCTTGGAGGGTCAGCATGTCTTGCGAAGTACACTGAAACACTTCCATTTGGCACTCCATTATTACATTATTCATCAAATACAGTTAAAATGTGTTAATAACCTTGTCCAATCCAGCTGCTCTTATAAGAAAGGCGGCAGGAAACTGATGCCCACGTGGAGTCCCACTGGATGGTACATTGTTACACTGCAACACATCTGCATATTCTGACTTGGCATTTGTAAACTCATAGTCCTAAAAAAATGGTCAACAAAATTAATCATTTCAATTGCTCATCAAGTAGAATGAGGAAAGCAGAAGGTGTAATAATGTTGCTGCTGTCTAAATGATCAAAGATGACCAGCTTTACAGGTTCATTATAATTTTTTTTATTATAACAGTCAACATTAACCCCCACTTTATGGACACCCACCTAATATGGACACCTCATTATTATTAAGGACAGTTTACTTTCTCCTTAGGGAAAGACAGTCCTTTGACATTTTCTGTAAATTCAACTCACTTAATGTGGACACTTCTATGACCCACTCAGTGTCCATTAGCGGAGTTTTGCTGTACAAAATTAGACCAAAACACCTGTTTGTAAGTTCATAATGCCTGTTCCAGCAGGCTCCAAGGAAAGGGGATTGAGAACTGTGGGGGCTGGGGAGAGATGGAAAAGTGGAGCCTGCAAACATTGTTTTCAATACCTCATTCTAGTATACCAACTCCTGGTATACCCTGTGATTGGTTTACACTTTACACAAGAGTCTAACAAACATGTTGAGCATGTGAAACCCTCCTTAAGATGGCTAAACTGCATTTTTTAGGGGGGATACCTCCCAAGTCTGAACATTAACTACGTCGGCATGAGTAAAGATATATGGAAAAAGGCTACTACAACTGTATTATATTATAAAGACAAAAATTTCTTACGATCTGGGTTTAATTGCAATCAGAGTCGCCATGGCAACATAACGATGCCATTACGTTTTTTATTTATCTTTGAGTTTCTCTGTACCAGGAGTTTTTTTTTAAGAAACTGCTTATTAAAGGGAGCATGAACCTGCCATTATTGCCTCAATTATGGCAAAGTTTGAACAAATTCTATGAGAGCGTTTTCAGAATATTTTAAAACGAAGTTTTAAGAATCATAAAAATAATGAAATAGCTTGCTATCCACACAATTAGCTAAATAATATTTCAGGAAAATGATAAGCTTTGGAAACGTGGCTTCATCTCATAGTGGTTTGATTCCATTGAAAACTGTGTACAAAAAAAGAGGGGAATTGCTATGTGAGTAAGAAGAATTCTATTAACTTGCATTCAGCTGCTTTTGTTAATACAGCTTTTTCACGTAATTTGGTCCATGCCTACAAATTTCGAATTCTTCAAAAAAACCACTTGATAAATCTTTTTTTATAAATTTAACAATTCTGAGATCAATTGTCAATAAAAATACCCTGCAAGTTTCAAGAACATTGAAAACAGGGAAGGCTTTTAAATAGGGCCTCAAATATAACCAATTCTCCCACCAGATTAATTTTTTGTGTTTACAAGTGAGCGTCCTCATTATTCACTGGCATTGTTTTCAAGTTTCATATGCATGTGCACAAGCAAAAAGATAAAATTTGCATCAAAAAGGACCCTCGGTTAAATCTCTGGAATATGCTAATGACTGGGTAAAGAAATTAGCGATAATTATATTATGATATCACAGCAACTCTTTGTAAGAGTTCCAGTGATGTTATAACCTGAGTAAGATAAGTATTGCATCCTACATGATGAGTCGAACGTCTATAATTTTTGCCAGAGATTTAGATGCTGTTATTATTTTAAGTGAGATGTTTGTCATAGCAAGGGGTACGCGAGGCAAAAGTCGACTGTATTTAAAATTGTCGCTTCCTGTTGCAGAAAAACTATAATTATTGTATGTTATTAGCCTTTAAGTGACATGATTATTAAGTAATATATAATCACCTCTCTGCGAAGTGTTGATACCTCAAAGGGGTCACCCATGTCATGACCAGCTAACAAACAAAATTTAATACATCAACATTTTCAAGGACATTTCAAGAATTAGATCAAAAATTGAGACGAGGACAAACAAGCTTTATAATACAACAAACAAGAATTAAATAATTTTTTATTGATTTTCTTTACTTTGAAAAGGAGGCAAAAAGGTTTTGAGAGGATTATGTCATGACCACTCTGGTTCCCTGCCAGGCACTTTGAGCCAGGCATCAACAAAACCTGGACGGTTACAGGGGTAGGCTCGATTTCCGCCGTCTCCCGGGTCCGGTCTTTGATCCTCCCCGAAGAGAGACGGCTGGACGCGTGACCCGTTGACCTTGTCTGTGATGTAATTGGAAAATTGATAATTTAAGCGTCTCCGATGTCAATGGAAGTGAAACCGGTCCCAATTTTCTAATTTATTTGGCTCAAAATTGCATCAAGCGCTCCCTTACCCACCCAAATGACTTTCGAAATAGCTGTTTCAGTACGTTTCCATACATTGTGAAAAATATTCTTCAGTACACTTCTGTACACAGCAACATGTAGTTAATTTTCTTTGATCTTCGAATATTGGTTGCGTCTTCTGTGGGTCCGAACTGACTGATTCTTGGAAGCGGACCAAATTAAATGGAAAAGTTTCTGATTTACCAGACAGATTTTCAAGCATATTGAATGTTCCTCTGTGAAATATAAACGTGGACGGTTACATGTGTAACAAACGAAGTTATCGAGACCTAAAGCGCCTTGAAAAAATCTCTCCAACAACGATCATTAAAAGAAAAGTTCACAACAAACAATCGAACAAAACGTTGTGTTCCTTCCGACTCTAGAATTTCGCCTAGTGTCTCCGGGCCGTCGAAATCACTTCGCCATGCGATGGATCAAGGGAGGACTTTCCGTTTTGATTTGATAATTTCTGCGACAATCTTTGCCAGACGAAAATCTGCAGGCGGTAACATGATTGGCTTAAGCCAACAAAGGAAATCGCACGCGTCCAGCCGCTCTTTCGGGGGATGAGTGCGGGCTCATTTCCCCGAACAGCAGCTGGTAATCGAGCCTATTACAGGGGTTGATGATCCAGGTTTTTTTCAAAGCCAGTGTGAGTTGCAAACTAGACTCAGAATGATATTCAGCTTGGTAAATTTTTGCACTGCAATTTATTGAAATGTCATCACCTCCAACATAAGTGCAATTGGCAGTGTGGACAGCTCAACTTAATGGTGCTAAATTTAAAGCTCTGAGATGTTAAGACAAAAATAATTTTTATTAATTTTCAAGATCCCTACGTACCTTCCTGGATCTTCTGACTAAACTTCACTTTAGCTGCAGGCCCGTTGTCAACAACAATCTATTAAACAAAGTAAAGGATGCTTTATTAAATGACATTATTACATGTATGGCTCCAGGAAAGCAGATGTGCATATAACAAAGTAAGTTAGAGTTGTGACTCACAGCAGTTAAATTAATGGAGAATAACAAGAAATGTACTTTGATTATAATGTAAACAAGGCTAGGTAAACAAAACTATTATTTATAAAAATTGATTATACAGACATGGTGAATTCAGGGCTTCTGATATTTCGTGAGGTCCCAGAGTCGCGAAATTCTGGTAAATCCTCAAAATCCCGCAAAATTCACAAAACTTGCAAAATACCACAAGATTCACCAGTAATCTTATCAAATACACATCTGTACAACATATTTTGAAACTTTACTTGCAAGTTTACTTCCTGTAAACTTGTAAATTTATCTTGAAGCTTTGTCACTGAAAGGAGCAAACAATGTCCCAAATCTACCAGGTGTTGATTATGTTGTGAAAAACTGGGCACTAGCCTTGATGTTTAATAAAGGCTTTGCCATTTAACTTTGCCATTGGTTCATTTCTGGAGCATATTGTTGTTGAAAGAGCAAATGATGACCTCTGTTAAGAAAATGTTAAAAACGCTGGTCTGATCAGCGCAAAACCGATTGATTTGTCCCGAAAATTCCCACAAAATTAGCCACTTTTAACCGATTGCTTTTATGTGAAGTTTGCCCTGAAGATTCCTGCAAAATCGGCCAATTTTTCCGGGAATCTGTCCCACACAATCCTGCAAAATTAATTTTGACTTTTTTTCCCTGACCAATTCTATAAGCCCTGTGAATTTCAAACCACCAAAACTCTTTGTGATGTACCTTCCTGTCCTGCCAAAGTTCGATTCTAGGCCAGACCAAAACCTAAAACTTTAATTTAACATATGGCAAGTCCCACATCATATTGTATTTCACAGACCAAAAATGTCTACAATAAACAAAGATAACAATGACAACATCTAACGATGAAGACAAAACGTTTTATGACATACCGAGTAGGCAGGACCCATTGCAATTATAGCATGTCCAGTCAGGGTTGCTATGGTTACTATATGAGCCTTATTAAGTGGAACCTTGTCATCATTGAGAGCCTGTGGAAGAATTAAAAGAACCCAAAATGTTGTGAGACAAATCCAGTTAAAAACAAAGAGTGTCATCTCTGTTATCAATAAGTGGTCAGTTTGGTGACATAGGCGCACACAGGTGCAGTCTACTTTAATTGTTTGCATAGCCCTCCATGTGTTGTACAGTGGTAGCCACTATAGGCATGGTTCATCCTTTTGGTTCCTCCCTTCTGTTTATTTTTTGTCCCTTATTACGTTTCTCCATTGACCAGTCAGTGTGACAGGTGTCAAGAGTGGGGATTCATGGCTAGGAGGCAATTGGATTAACCAGCCATGGGCGCTGTGACAAAAGTGAAAGTCCCTCGATATCCCAGACACTCAACCTCCACTGAGCATTACAGTTCTTCAACTTATACTGTAAAAGCCTTAAGCTGAGAATAAACATGAAAACACAAATGTATCTGCAAGAAAAAGAGGTTACCCTCTGTTTCATATGGTGAATTGCATCAGCCATTGCCATACGCCCTTCAGCATCAGTGTTCCCAACCCTCACTCTGGTTCCAGCAGCAGATGTGATGATCTCATCAGCAACATAACCCTCTACAAAAGAATGAGGACTGGGTATCATGAACTCAATATTTAAACTCTAATTAGGCTAGAGAACTCTGATCAGACATTCCTACATTGTTATATAATATTTTATTATTATGTTAATTTGAATCTTTTCTTTAAGTTTAATTATTTACTACAATGATATTGTCAATCATAAAACTTAATGTTTAGCTGCTATTTTCAGACTAACTCAAGCCTCTTATTTAGCTATGACAGATTAGCATGTATGATTCTAGGAGAACGATTGCCTCCCTCTGCGAACCCATATAGTTTAGTACATTTTACCTGCTCCTACACTGTTGCGCACCATGGCCATTGTCCCTAGGACTTTAATTCCTTTTGGCTTAAGTTTGGCTAGAGTCTGCATGGTAATAATACAACAGAAGAATATGACTACTATCGACGGCAAAAACTAGACTGTTAGCTAGCATACATTTTTCTTACACTAACTACATTAATAATGAACTTTCTTGAACAAAACGTTGTTACATTTACTTTTTCTTAATAAAATTTTTTATTCTCTCTGTAATTATTATGTTGCTCTTTGATCATGGACAACTTCATACCGGTCGACAGTTGTCAGTATAGACATTACAAGTGATTATAATCTATATTTTCACAGCTGGCCCAAATTGTTTGATTCAATTGGTTTAATTTTTTTAATCATAAGTTATGCACGCTTCATTTTATTAATAGATTTAACAATTCCGTGAACTAAGTTGGGGGCTAATGAAGAAAGATTGTTCAATTTTCCAGCTCTTAATAACTAAAAAAGCACTAACTATTTGTATCAATGCTATTAATACAGCTGAACCTCCATAAAGCGGCCACCCTCAATGTACTGGCAAGAGACTGCTTTATAGAGGTTGGCCACTCAAAGAAGCTTCGTCATAAATTAGCTAACATAAACATAATCTTCAGCAGAAACATCTCTTTATTTTCAAAACAAACACGCGGCAGGAGCTTTATTTTCAAAACAAACACGCGGCAGGAGCAACATAATAATGGTCCACATGTACAATGGGTCGTCACCCTCTAACTCGGACTGTATTAATTTTCTTTCATCATTATATTCTTGAAATAACGCCAAACTACACTGTACATGTATCAAGCGCTAGACAGCCGTTTAATAGAGGTGATAACAACAGGAGAACTCTCATTGGGACAGCCAAAAGGTGGCTGTGGCTGCTTAGTTTAAGTTCCCATTCTTTTCTATTTTGGGATTACTGGCCGCTTTATGGAGGTTCAAATTAACAGTGAAACCAGTATAATTGAAAGATTTTTAAAAATGAATACACTGGTGTGCAAACATAAACGTATACCTGAAAGAACCCAGCCACAGCAGCAGCACCACATTTATCCCTTGAAAACAAAAATAAATCAGGTTTTTTGACCAGGCTTTAAACACCTACCCTTCTAGCGGATTGTCTTAAGGACGTTCGTGCGAAAATCTTCTAACATTGATTTTTTTCTGAAACTTTCACCAGTTTGAGATTATGGGTTACTCATGTCAAAAATGTAAAAAAAATGGGGGGTCACCAAATTCGTTTCGGAGATATGATCTTCAAAATATCACCCAAAATCTGAGAAATCGGGCTTCGTTACTGCATACGGATAAAGTGCCTGTTTGTGCAAAAATTTTATAAATAAATCCCTGAATTGAAATTTTATCCACCAATTATTGTTCTTGTGGATCCATAAACAAAATTCGGTGAACTAAAAACTTCCTCAGAGTTGATTTTATCATTTAGCAGACACATTTCTACTCTCCTAACAGCCGCACAAATGCCAAAATTCGACGCCGCGTACACAGAAAAATTGGAAATTTTTTACCTTCCCACATTGATTTTTTGTTCATTTTTTCACGATCTATCGGAAAGTGGAAGAGAAAGTGGTCTACCGAAAAAAATGGGGTGTCACCGACCATTTAAGAAAGTAAATTGCAAGCGAAGTTAATGCAACGGCTACCAGCCCTATATGTGCTTAGACAGTTTTCTCAGCGCACGCGCTCGATGCACGACGTGGCGTGATATTGCGCTATGAATTATGTGCGCTGCAGGGATGCGCAGAAACAATTAGCGCGAACGTCCTTAATCCAACTACACCTGTATTATTCAGTCAATCCCAAGTTGACATAATTTCTTTCAAAGTCCCTTGCAGTGTTGTAAGTGTGTTTTCGTTCAAATGGCAGCATAAAAGCATGTATAATGACAATGATGTGTCTTTGTATAATTTAATAAGGCTGCAATGACACATTGAAACACAGGTGAACCACAAAACTCTTCCCAAATATCCACATAAATTAATATTCCACATCAAAATAATTTTTGAAGTAACTGCTTTTGAATTTCTTTACTCAAGATCTGCACATTAACCCTTAAAAGGTAATAAGTTGTTAAGAAGGGTTCATACTCTTTCGGGTTCTTTAAATTCCATGAATTTCCATGACTTTTTCCATGAATTTTTCCAGTTTTCTATGAACTTAGGTTGAGCTGCCACTTTCCAAATTTTCAAACGTATCCTTGTTTTTGGTGATTCTTTTTCACGTAACTCAGTTCAACGGACACAAAATTGTTGGTGTCCACCAAAATGCATGCCATTAACGCTATTCAATTACTTGTCACTAACACAGTTCTCCATGCTGTGACATCTGCAGTGGACTTAAACAGAAGTTAAATTTTCCATGACTTTCCATGACCAAAAATTAAATTTCATGACTTTCCAGGCCTGCGGAAAATGAAATTTGTAAATTACATATAAACTTTCCAGGTTTTCCATGACCCATATGAATCCAGTGTATAAATAATAAAAGGTTGGGAATATTTTGGTGTCACAGTTCCATTCATGTATGGGTGAAAAGAGGTGCAAAACATTTTGATCTGACTTAAATATTAAATTTTTGCAACCTATAATCGGCCGTATATTGCATTTGTAGGAAGTTACATCATTGCAGCTCACTAGTAACAAATGGAGGACATGAAATGACACAGAATGATAATAATATTATAGATGTATAATTTATCAATATGATACTGTACCTGCTCATTCCAGCCATATGTCCACCTGCCTTGACATCAGCTCCTCCAGTATCATAAGTAACACCCTGGGATGATAAATTGGACAATATGTAGTGGAAACTCTCCAAACAGACATTCTAGTATAAAGTGGGGAAGCTTGGTTTACTTACGGCTACCTTCTCAAAACCCTGTTTTTCTCAACTCCCATACTAACTCTGTATTTTTACATTCCCGTAAGTGGCCAGCTCCAGTTATGGACACCTTCTTTATGTCCTGATGGTTTCTGCTTACGAGAGCTTCTACTGTAATTCTATGAAGGGCAAAGCTAATGTAGTGTATTATTAAATACTCCCTGCGACACAAAGTCATTTAGAGGAAGACTTCACAATATTTCATACGGTATTTCTTTACAAAGTAAATCTTGTTCAACTGATTTTGGGTTAAAATCTTGATGAGGTAAGAGCTTTATCTTACTTCTTGTAAACTACTGTATAACAACCTGGGTAACGCAGACGAAAGAACCCTTGATGGGGTTGCCCCAAGGAAAGACATCAGTTATAGCCAAGTATATACTACCCATTATTTGATTAACTGCCCTGAGCGCTTACTAAATTTTTGGACCTTGAGAATGGGCGTTTATTCCAGGTGGGTGCTTATTCGAGGCTGGGCGCTTATTAAATTTTCCTCATTCTCAGCAAGTATAAGTGTGTTTATTTTGCAACAAAACAATAAATGGTAATAACAACAAGCAAAGATGTAACAAAGCAAGGTTTCTGTAAAATACACTGACAAAAATTCCATCTTTGGGAGGGTCTCTTGTTATCTCTTATTTGAGTTTGTGTAGGAGGGAGTGGGGTGGGGGTGGGGTTTATTTGAGGTGGGTGCTAATTCGAGGTTGGGCGCTTATTCGAATAAATACGGTTTGATTTGCCATTACTAACCATACTATAAAATTGTAAGGTGTTGTTAATTTTAAAATATCATTGAATTTAAGTCCAAAAAGAAAGTATTTCACAGTGCATTGTATGTTTTGTTACAGCCCTGGCTAATTAAATCCACATACCTTCCCTACTAGAAGGACAGTTTCTTCAATGGGTCCCTCTGGTACATATTCCAGATCAATTATTCTGCCAGCATGCCTATCAATAGCTTAATAACACATAAACATGGAAGCTAATTAACAAGTTATTTGTCTTTCAGTTTATGAACCATGATGGCACATGCAAATCACATAAGAGAGGCCATAGATAAACAAAAAAATGTGATAATAATAATATATAGAGGATATTATATCGTGGCGTGAAGATATGAATTTTATTTTCGAGTGGCAAAACAATATTTTACCAACGAGCGCAGCGAGTGAGTAAAACATTGTTTTTGCCACGAGATTTAATAAAATTCATATCTTCAAGCCGCTGTGTAATGTTCTTTTTATTACATAGACAAAATGACATCGATAAAATAATAGAGGGAAATTACCAAAATTACGTCATCGATAAACTCACGTGTGAGATTATGGAAAATAAACCACTCAGGTCACGGATGTAGTTTTTATGAATTTTACGAGTGGTATATTTTCCGGTAAAACACTCGTGTCTATATAATAAATAATAATATAAACATTTATTGTGATATTGCTTTTAATTTATGGAACATCTCTCACGTTATTTACACGTAGTTTAAGCAACTTTGTACCAATTGATATTGTACAACTAATGTATTATTAATATTGTACAACTATTGTATTATTGTACAACTAATGTATTATAGGATGGAGTAAAAAAAAATAAAATACAAATACAAATACAAAACATCTCTCACAAAACCTGAAACCTTACCAGTAGTTTATTACACTCACTCTTCCTAAAAAAAATGATGGAGAACACATAGGGAGAAATAACTAATTGTAATTAAATAAACCAAATAAATCACTCCCTGGGTCAGAAAAAGGTATAACAACTGCAGGCTGGAATGACATTTTACGTTTTACCTCTTGAACACCTGTTGACTGCTGCATAAAGTGGATACTTTGTTTCAAACTCTTTAACATCTTTGATTACTGTAACCTGTGAACCCATTGTAAAGTAATAAACAGCATTTTAACTTGTGACATTTGTTTATTTTTAAGAAGGATGCTCTGGTTTTTATAACCATGTATAAGAATAAACAAATCACTTAATATGTAACTGAAGAAATACAAAAAAGGTAAAGTATTAAACTTTTGTCTGTTTAAAAATATTAATAAACTTTAAACAAAATAAAAGTTGCAAACAATATTAATAACATGTGCACTAATAAAATATATAAGTGCATGCACTTACATCGTCCTACTACTAACACTAATATTTTCATGTACATTATCCACAAAACAATGTTCTTAAAGTGGGAAAAAAAAGGAAGGCGTGTGGTTTTTTTTGTTATTTGTTGTTGTTTTTTTTCATGGGCTTAATTCCACTAGCAGGTAGAGCTGAAGTAAGGGTAGACTTGCCTACAAGTCGAGCTCAAATTTTTTCATGAGCATGAAGCGCGAGCGGTAGATATTTTTGTTTTCTGCAGCAAAATATAAGCCAGAGAGCGGGAGCGCGACTTGTTTCCACTACAAAAAATCTCATCAAGTGACGTCATTTTGGAGCGAACTATTTGAATACAGGCGATAAAACGAAATCAAAATGCAGCCCGCAAAAAAAAAAAAAACACAGATCAACTGAATTTGGATCAACACAGTTCAAGTCACGTTTCATATAGCGTGATCGGGTTTGATTGAAGGCGCATCAGTAAAACCGTTCGTGATTGGATAAAACCTACAGGAGAAAAATTCCTCCTGTAAATTTGGCGTGCTGCAGGAGATAAAAGTCTTTCATGCTGGGGCCAACTACCGGAAGCGGAAATGAGAAGTGAAGGACTTTGAGAAAGTCTAAAGTAAGGGCAATTCCACACTAGCAGACAAAATCAGAATTTATATCTTTGAAACTTCTAACCAAAAATTGTATGGTGACAATTTTTGTCTTGAACAAAATTAATTATCCCTACTCATGAAAGCTACGGTCTCTTATCAGGCCATTACATGTACATCTGACAACACTCGCATTTGTTATGGAAAGAATAATGGATTTACAACAAATGATTGACGAAAAAAACACATTTTTGTTTATTTAGTTGATTTTGTCCGGTTGCAAATTTTGCAGTTTTTGCAAGGCCATCGCAAAAAATCATTAATTTTGTAAATTTCATTGCAGAGTTGACAGTCCTGGACATAAGTGTAGGCAAATTTTGTCTGCGGCACCTAATTTAAGATTGTTCTGTCCAGGACAAAAATTGTGAACTCTCAACAAACCATCCACATTATTATAAGTGTTGCAGGTGATGACAGAAAATTTGTCTTAATAATCAGGCCTTTATAAAATGAACCTTCAAAATCATTCTAATTCTCAATAGACATGAAAATTTGCACTTTACCCTGAAAGTTTCAAGAGTGACTAACATCACTTTTCTGCTAACAATAATTATCAATACATCATCAAGTAAACTGGTTAATATGAGAATTCACAAAACGGTCACCAAAGGGAGATGCTTTTATCTTTAATCAAATCCCTTATTAAATTAATAACCAAATATATTGAAGGAAATGTAAGAAGAACAGTCTGGGGAATTCATATATGTGGATATACTGGAGCTTAAAGGGTTGATACATAACAATGGGAAGACTCACTCGCTTGATATCAACATTATCAATAGCATCACCACTGGGGACAGGAGAATTGTTAGATTTATAATAATAACCAAAAATTTCAACATTACTGACAAAAAAGAATTAATTGTTCCATTTTACAAATAAGTTACTATAATATAAAAAATGCAAACCTTCACAGGACTTTTAGGATCTTTAAATAATTCTCTTAGATATTCTTCAACACGAGGAGCTGCCATTCTTTCCGGGTCTGATCCTCCTATGTCTCGACAGACATACCTAAATTTTAAAGAAATACATGTTAATATGTGCAAAAAAAAATTCTTGTTTGTGCAAAGCTTTTTACACATATTCTCAAGCAACATAAATAACTAAATTCTGCTACACCCCCCCCCCAAAAAATAATTGTAGCTCATTAAAATTTCACACCACTCAACAACAACAACAACAACAACAAAACATGTCTCCTACCTTCCAGAATCAATGGCTTTGACATACTCCAAGTTGCAACTCTAAGAAAAAGTGCATGTGGTTATACCCACAAAATAATCAAAATCAGTTTTTAACTTAAAACATCTCAATCTTGACAAGAGGTATATGTCTAGCAACTCACATCATTAAGAACAACCACTCCAAGCTGTTTCGCTTTCTGCTTCTTATCAGGACGGGCTTCTCTCAACTCTAAGGGCTAATAAGAAATATTTACATTGTACAAAGTTAGATTTAGAACACGTTCTTAAAGGGACAGTGTCCCGATTATGCGCACGCGCGAGCGTCATCTGTTTTTTCTTCAAAAAGACAATAGACCTGTCAAATTGACTCGACAAGATTTCCTTCCGGACCGCACCGCCGACGGAGATTTGTTGTTTATATTCTCAGGCAATATTTCAAACTTTCGAAGAAATCTTTCGTCTTATTTAAAATTTGGCTCGCGGCACGAAGACTCATCGCCATTTTATCGCTAGCAGGGCCGCCTCGTGACCCGAAAATCTCTTTCCGCTCGCTTTAAAAACAGATTTTCTAATATGAAACTCGTGTCAGAGGTCAATTGTTCCAAGTGCAGTAATATCTGCCTGATTTGCTCGCGTTCTAGCCTCAAACGTTGGAAAGACACAAATAAAAATGCAATCTCAACGCTATGAATCAACCGCAAACGTTAGTCAAAAATTATATTATGATTTCATGGAACTAGTTTTTCTAAACATGTAAGGCCTGTTTGTTTGAATTTGTCGGCCGTAGGGAGATTCATTTAAAAGTTTACTAACGCGTCGTTGCAAAACATGCTGCTTCACGAAGCTCCCCTCCACAAGATCTCCTCATGATCAGTCACAAAGAGAAAGAGTCTTTCTTACAGTCTTTATTGTTGCTGTTTCATTTCTGCGTATTCCTTTCACAATTATCTGAGCTTGCATGGAAGCTAGCAGAAGAAATAAGCCTTCAATCGGCATTAAAGCGCTTCTCATCTTTTGGTCCTCCGGCCAACGGCAATAAAAGTAACGCCAAAAAATCCAGATTTGGCCCAAATCGAAATTTAACAGGAACAATATATCATTGATCTGTAATCCTGAGAAGTTTTAGTGTAGTATTGAACTTGACCAAGCGCGATGCAAACGGATTTTTCAAGGTTCTCTTACTCTCCACACATCTTTTGATTTCGGGACATCCTGTCCAAAAATCATAGTTTGGTGCATGCGCAGTAACGGGATACTGTTCCTTTAAATTCAATAGAAAGTAATGCCGACACAACAAAGCTGCCAGGCTCGATTATAATGTAAGTGTTGCCTACACTGAACACCCTAGTACAGATAGAAGATAAACCACACCCTGGTTCCACTGCTCTATTCAAACAGCTACAAGGCTGTGCTCTTGGAAAAAATTGAAGAGAGACCGGAGGTCTGAACCTGTGAAATTCAGGGTAACCAGCATGGGATTTCTACCAAAAAGTTGCCCAAGAGCAAAAGTAAGGCACCAGGGGCAACCAGGCTTTGTTAGAGCACAGCCCTCCCTTCAAACAATTCTTTTCTTAAGAGGGCTAAACAGGACAAGGTCGCAGTGCTTCAGCGGAGGCTGAATCCGTGAACCTCTGCTTGGCAGAATATGGCTAAGAACCGACAGCTGACAAGGCGGCAGTTAGATGTGGCAATAAGGAGAATATCCTTGTGGAATGAATGCACCTTGTAAACTCACCACATAGAGTTGATGAAGAGCTCCAAGCAATGACACAGACCATGCATTGCTGAATGTTTCACCAGGTATAGTCACCAGAATGGGAGACTCACTACCAGCCTTCAAAGCCCTGTAAGTAATGCTCCAATCATTAATTTATTTTACAAAAAGAAAACTTAGGAGGCTTCATAAGCATTTTGCTGGATGATAAAGTCAACAGTTAAAAGAGAAACCTGAAAGATATGAGGCTTTGATCATAAAAAATTACTTATATATTTTAAAGTAATATGGTGGAAAACATTTAAATTTACTCTATACAAATGTAAACCGTATGTCTTACTTCACACACTGAAAACAAAGTTGTCTGAAAAAATTCCAGGCTGAGATAATTATTGAGACATATTTATTGAACACCAACAACAACAAAAAATATCTTAAATTTCACTGACATCGTCTCTAGCACTAAATAATATCACACTCCCATGACACTTGAATGAAAAAGGTGGCTTTTACTATCAGGGCTATAAATATGCTCTTTGACTCACCTGCTGGTCCCTGTAACTTAATTATTGCATGATGAACCAAGTTATAGTCCAAGTGAATCAATTTTTCTCTGATCCATTTGTATATTTCTCACAAAATTTTTGAAACTTAGTAGAGAAAGGCACATTAAAACTTTACAGTTGGCAATGCAATCATTTAGAGATAACACACTGGAGGAAAAATTTTTAAAAAAATACTCACCGTTTGATTCCATTCACAGCTGCGTCGTAGTAACGTCTAACATCATCATAATCTCTGTTCACAGGTCCTGTAGGTGCATGGACCTAAGGTGGAGCATACCGTAATAATTACTGATTCTTTCAAATTTTTACTTACACATACAAATGCATGTGTATGTATGTAAAAATATCACAAATTTTATAAAAAAAAGGGCAGATATTCAAGATCAGAAAAACAAAAGAAAACACAACCCAAAGGGGTCTATTACCAGTATAAACATGACTATATGTGTTACAGGTCAAAATAAAATTCAGGATGAAATATTTTAACCAGGGCCGTAGCATGGGGAGGGGCCAGGTGCCCTCCCCCCGCCCCCCCGCCAAGTTTTTTGCCCCAAAAAGTCGAAACATGCACGCATAAAAGTTTAACATAAAAGTTCACCTCCCAGAGCATTGAAAAATATGATGTCTCTGTAGCTGGGTAAGACATTTTATGTGGCTAAATGTAATTTAGGCAAACTTTAGTTATTAAACCTTGAAGCAATGCTGGTAGACCTCCAGTTTTTCCAGGTATACTGGATGTGGCCCAATGCCTTTAGCGGGGGCACCTCATGACTTATATATGCAGTTGCTTGCTTGCAGTTCTTCATAAAGTGTTGTTGTAATAGCTTGCTGTTTGCGTGCCATTTTGTGCTTTGGTTTTTCCCATCCCTCCCTCTCTCCCTCTTGACTTGAGGTAAGGGCCAGGTAAGTATTGGTTGGTAAGTATTGCACTGAATTGTTCAGTTTGATGGTGCCTGGTGGGGGACGCTAGCAGGGTTGCAATGGATACCTCCTCCTCATGCTAGAGTATTGCCCGGCTCCACCAACTTTGTAGGCACCAGCACCCAAGCTCATCTATTGGTGATGAGTTTAACTGGTTTTTAGATACAGAGACCAGTCCAATGGGTCCCCTGGACCCAAAACAAAACCATCTGCTTTTCAAACAGAATGAGCTACCCAAACTCTTTGTGTACCCCTAGTTTGTAAAGGCTTGCTAGAACCTTGTTAACCAAGGTTGATTCTACATTTTCTTTTGTCCCTGAGCAATAAATCATGAATAATTAGGCCTAGGAGACAAAGGACATTGAGAATCAACCTAGTTTAAATGTCTGTATTCATTTTCATTGATTTTGTTTTTAAAACTTTTATCTTAATAAAAACAATAATCCTTCAAAGGTCTATTCTGAGTATAGTGTAATACAAAGTAACTATACTCACCAAGCTTTTATTCTTCTTGCGGAGTGGAAACAGCAAAGTTTCATTATAAACAGCTTTGTCAACCTGCAAAGACATAAGTGGTACCAAGTTGTAAGCAGGTGAAAAGGCTACCAGCACTGCAATGTATATACATGTACATAATTATAGCTTACAGCACTGGATTTAGAAAAGTACTAAAAAATGCACACACTTCCAGTAAGTTTTGATGAAGTAGTGGGGCTTTTTGTTTAAGAAAACTGCAAACTACTAATCTTAGTCTTGCAGAAACCCCAATAAAACACGATAAAAATAACAAAACTTTCTGCAAAGCTCTATCACTCACAGTGTACATTGTAAACCTGACACCTTCCTCTTATTAAGTCCCTACACTTTTATTCATAAAGAACTTATACTCGGATAGGGAAAGCTACTACTATCACACTGCAGCAACCAGGTTTAATTTTAAAAATTTGTAGTTTTTAACCGCAATATATACCTCAGCAGTTTTCCGTAACTTCTTCTTCAGAAAATTCCATGTGGAATTGTCCCATTCCAGATTTTCACACACAAGAATGTAGCAATCAAATCCTTCTTCCTCTGGATCAGATACTGGAACCACAGGACAAGGGAGCCTAAAGGAATAAAAATAATTATAGTACATGTGAAAAAAGACCAGTTCCGCCCCCCCCCCCCGAAAAAAAAATAACAACAACAACAACATTGTACAGCTCAGCCTCTCCATGATGCCTGATTAAGTACAGAAGAAAGTGGTGTCCACTGGCTAATGGGACAAACAAATCAAAGTGGCCATTGGGGAGAGATGGGTGACTGTACATATGGTAGATATACACTGTATGTTACTGTGCTCTGTTACAGACCAATTCCGATATAATATTAAAATTCACACTTGGCTGTGAGGCTTGGGGAAATAAAAGAAATCATCTTGAGGCTCCGTAATGAATAATACATTTCTTTTGTTTTATTCCCCCAAGCCTTGGAGCCAAGTATGAAGTTTGATATGTCGAAAATGGTCTATTATTTACAGGGTACGTCCTACAGAAGGAAACTAAGATAACATAAAAAAAATTTTTTCAAACTGTTTAGAACAGAGAAGGGAACACTGATATAAAAGGGTAGAACTGGTGGAAGGCAGAAAATATAAATAACAGATTACTTATGACAAAAAAAATGTTGAATGAATGATACTCTCACTCTGTTACAGTGACAATTTTTTATTATTATTCACCATATTGCTGACGACATGTATAATACACATGTATAAATTGTATTGTTAGTGAAGAAATAACTTCTTCATAAGAAAAAATTTACTGTATCTCCTGAGCATCATAATTCAAATAAACAAACAACAGAGAGATAAACTTTAGAAACTAGTTATGCAGGACAGCTGTCAAAAGCACCCCAAAACATTACAGGTACAGAGTAACTGTACAATCAGTTTAAATCTTTCTTTCTGTAGATTGGTGAGAGGGTCAAAGCTGCGCCTTAAGCTTTCCGTCAAGGAGGAATACCATTAACCTTTAAAGTACTAACTGAATGACCAACATCAGTTTTCTCCCAACAACATCAATACATTATCAACAGAGAAGGTTATGAGAATTCATTATATGATTACCAAAGGAAAATATTGGTTACCGGTAGATCTTTTATAAAACTCTCTCGACTAATTCTTTAAAAAAAAATGTATGGAGAACAGTCTGGAGAATTTGGATGTGAGTGTTATTTTGGTGTAAGGAGTTACATTCTAAGGCACAGCTCTCTCTTCCCATGATCCCAAGGATATGCATGCCACCTGATGGTCATTTAGACTCTTTGATACAAGACACACCAGTTTCAAAAAATAAAACTTGTTTGTCAAACCAGTTAGAGAAAAAATCAAACTGCTTCAGAGAAAAAATATCATAAACCGGTTCAACAGCCACTTGTCTCCACTACAAGGTTTTGGTTACAAATCTCTTTATGGGACGTTCTTATGAGGTAGGGATAAGTTGAGATTGAGCTTCTCAGGTTCCAGCTTGTCCTTTGGGCAAGCATCTCTCAAATTCAATTTTTCTAGCCAGGGACCATTTCTTGCTCATCTTGGTTACTGATTTTGTTAGAATATGACGTCCCTGGACCCTAATGCCCATTCGGCAGGAGAGCTTTTAAAAGTTACAGTTACTTGCCCAGCAAACCCATCTACTTGTCCCAGACTACTGGCCCAGACATTCCTCAAGCCCTACACGTACACATCTGGCAGCAAGCGCTCCACTGGGAACGCAGAGGGATAGAACAAGCAAGTGATGTTCTTAGTTGGTAACAAATCAGACAGACCAGAAGGATAACAAAACCATTTGCAGCAAACAGGTCAACCTTATCTTATTTCAAGAAATATGTAGTGTCATTTACGTACAGTAAGCATTACCCTTTTAACTCTTGAGAGAGAAGGAGGTTCAAGGGTTAAAAGACATGACAATCTTCTGTCCTTGTTTAATAATGCTGTGGGCTGTCAAATTTTGGACATGAAAATAATCTACAACCAAAGGTGGGCCAGAAAGACAACATCCTAATAAGATGCATATCACGTACAACACATAGTGGATAATACATTCCCAGAAAACTTGAAAAAATAACAATTTCTTGTAAATTAGTATCTAAAATATTTCCAACATAATTTTGTTCTCCAAGATGAGAAAATTATTTCCAAAACAATGTTACGTTATTTCTGTAATGCTATCTAAAAACAAAAAAACTGAAAGTGAAATCCCAGAGAGGAAAAACATGATACATCACGTAAGCTTCTCTTTAGCTCCACCCTAGATTTTTTTTTTTTTCACACCAGTAAAACTTGTATTTATGGCTACACCCATTATTAGCCATAAAGCTCTCTTAAAGGGAGAAAAATATCGGGGACTTGACTAAAACAGCTGTTGTTTACCTAAAATGCACTCTTTGCTCAATATGATTTATAAAAAATTGATTGAAATAGACCTTAAATTATTTTATCACCCTGAGAAGATAAGGCTTTAAGCAAAAGAGCGCGTGCAACTCGCGCGCTATGCCTTGGGCATTAGCCTGGATCCAAATATGAGAAAGAGAAAGGAAAACGGTAATCAAGTTAACAGAAAACTTTTACTGTACCTCAAATCTTCTCCCTCCGACATTTGTTAAGGCAAAAACCCAGAAAGATGAAGACACCGTCCTATCGAAGTGTGATGCCGCCCTGAGTGGATGAGTGTCGTGTGACTCGCGTGACTCTATAGCTTGTCGACTGCAGTCTTTGTGGCCTGCGTTGGCTACATCCTGTACGCCATATAAACGTCACGAATAGCTGTTTTCTATCTCGGCCCAAAACTAAACAGCCATTTTTTTTTCCAAGCGTTGAACGGTTTTTTTTCTCTGTCTGCAATGGCTCGATCGCCAGTAACTTTGGGGGACTTTTTAAGAAAAGACCCTTCCTCTACTATGGTTGGAGCACCGCGACCAAGAAGCCCGAAACAGACAGATAAAAAGTTTAATTACGCGGCTTGAAAAAAACGAAGATTGGAATACCGTCTCCAACGCGGTTACTGCGTTGTTTCAACGAAAGAAGTTAACGAAATTCGAATTGAGCAGTCTCATGGAGAAAGTGAAAACAGTGAAACAAGAAATCAACGGCCCTGCCATATGTGAGCGTTTTAAAGAATCTTTAGTAAAGGGGATGATTATACTGCGAGAGGACGTGAAAGCCAAGAATGGCGAAGTTCTTTTGGACAAACTGGCAGATAGTTGGTCTTATCTTTTCTGCACTATATTGCCTCTCCTTCAGGCCATTTTTTTAAATATTCAGTCACGGGAAGCTCAGTCTACAAGGGCTATTGCTTTGTTAAGTTTTCGAGACGTGGTTGTTTTGAAAACCAAGCTGAAAGAAGTGTTTGTTATGGACTTGACAGTCCCCCCTAAACTGGCCCAGGGCCGAGTTGTTCGAAGCTGGGTTAAGATAACCCAGGGTTAGTGCGAGATTTGAATTCAGATTTGAAAGCTTAAAAAGCATTTCAGTTTTAATTCTTTTTGTCTACAAGTTGATGATTGGAAGCTATAAAACTAGCAGAGAAAATTATCCAAGAAAATGCTTTTGAACACAAGAAGAAGAAACCCGTGTTAAATTTAACCCCAGGTTTAACGCTAATCGGCTTTCGAACAACTGGGCCCTGATGTTATTAATTTTACAGGTGAGAATTACTAGTGTTTATGTTACCGGTCAAAATTAAATTCAGGTTAAAAGTTTTTAACCTAGTTTGATTCTCTATTTCCTTTGTCTTCTAGTCTTAATTATTAGATTTAACAATTTTTAACCGAAATTAAATTTTGACCTGTAACATTTACACTATCCCCTATAATTTTTAAAGTCTTTCACTCCTAACAGCAACCAGAGTGAAAATTTACAAGACATTCCAAATTTACTTTTTTGTAAAATCCTAAGAAATAAACAGTACCATGTAAAACCTCTGCCTTTAGCTAAGAGGTGTTTTTTGAATGGTAACACTGTAGGATTTTAACCAGAGATCCAGACGTTAGAAAGACATGTTATCTCATCATAAACTGGTCTAGCTGGGAGTAAAAGGGTTAAGGCCATCTTCTTCTTTTTTCTTTTTCGTTTAGCACTGAATTTTGGGTCGGTCGATCAGATGAAAAAAGAAAAACAAGTAAAAAACATCACAAGAAGTCTGAGAACAGCACTTCAACCTTCACCTCATCGACTATGTTCACAATACTGTTTCTTTCACTAAAGAATTTTTGCAACCTGCTAAATTGCGTTCTATTATTTATCCTAAATTATGTAACACCCTCCCACACACCACATCTTACATTACAAACGTACAGAACGACAATGACGTAATACTTACAGTTTCTGACAAAAACATGGGTTGGGCTCTTGTGCCTATCTCATGGTTCTCCACCGAGTACAAACGACATCTCTCCGACCTTTCCACCTACAGACGTATCGACAACTTTAACTGTAAACAAACCATCACTAACTCCCACACACTACTTGGCCAACTCAAAAAAAGATTCTCAACTGTTATCACAAACTATGACAACTCGCGACTGTTGGACCCCACCCCACAAGACAAACTACAACTACCCTACATGAAGCTACTACCTAAAGTACATAAACTCGACAAACCTGCATCATACAACAACCTGAACAAACTAACTGGAAGACCTATTATCACTGCGCACAGCTGGATAACATCCAACCCCTCACGTGTAAGTCCCTGGGAACTGAACTAGACAGTATTATTTTACAACTGAAAAACCTTTTTGAAGAACGAAACATACCATACCCTTTGATTTACAACTCATATGACTTACTGCTTTTGTTAGACAAACTACGTATTACGTACTACGTATTACCAACATGTACCAACGAATCGTCCGTCTTCCTGTGATGTTACCGGTGCGTCTGCAAGCAATGCTTCGCCTCCTGGGGATGCCAATGCTTCTGCTGCAACGAATACACCATCTCAACCGTCCCCGGAGTTTCTGGCTACGGTTGTGCAAGCTGTAAAGGCTGCTCTGGCAGCGGAACAGGCTTCAGTACCTTGCCCAGCTTCTACGGCCCTGCCAAACCAAAGCTAATCTTCGTAGACCGCTAGCCTGTCCAGTGCGTTGGCCTTTGGGGGCGTTCCCTCGCTGCTATCTTCGCAAGCCTCCGCTTTTGCAGCTTCTGGAGCGGGCTTTGCTGCACATTCCACCTCCGCAGGAGGTTCTGCTGCTCAACGTAGGCCAGCTTTGGTTGTTCCTACTTTTGTGTCGACCTTTTTGCCCCCAAACCCCTCGCATTCACTGTCCGTTGTCAACATGGCGACCACGTCGTCCCGGGGAAGCGTTTCATCTGCTCCCACGTTGCCCCAGGCCAACATTTCGTCCGGGACTTCGTTCCCCGTGCTGAACCAGCCCTTCATTGTCGGTCCTGGCTTCTGCCCCCGTTCCTGCGAAAGTAGTCGGCCAAGTGGTGGCGGGAAAGTTCATTGACCTCGGCGATCTGCTCCCGTCGACTGTTGCGTCTGCCGAACTCGAGCCTCAGCTACTGTTTGACGGTCGTCTTGTGCTGACCTCTACTCCGAAGAAGCCTAAACGCTGCGTTGAAGACATCGCCACTTGGATGGAGGCTTTCTCTGTCTATTGCCTTATTATGATCTCCTTCTTCCCGCACCGCTCTCGAGACCTATTGCAGTATAAACTACTCATCTTGAGGACATACCGTCAGTTAAGCGGGAAGGTTTGGCTGGCCTATGACAGAGCGTTCCAGGAGCATGCTGCAGCTGCAAATGTCGTTGACTGGTAGTCCATAAACGTCCAGCTGTTTAACTTCCATGCTGCGGGAGCCTCGGCTCGTGGACCCAATGTCTCTTCGACTGACTCATCAGAACCAGCTGGAGCAAGTGCCTCTCATCAGATTCTGTGCAAGTCATGGAACAAAGGTCGTTGTGTGGCCCCATATGCCTCCTGTCGTTATGCCCACCGCTGTTCCAGCTGCTCTGGTGCACATCGTGCTGTCAACTGCCCAGGGTCAGAGCCAGCCCAGCCCCCAGTCAAGTCCAGCCGCCGCTCGCGATCCCCGTCCCGTTCCTCCAGCAAGTCTCGGCGAACGTGAACTCACCTTTTTAAGCTTAAAGTTTGCTGTCTGTTGCTACTTGGTACTTTCTATCTTTATTAACATAGCAAGAATAAACAGTTCTTTTATGATATGCTATTGTATGATATTGTTTGTTTCCTTTTCATAGTGCCACTTCCCCCGGTATCGGACATAACTCCCCTCAAGGTGGACCAGTTTGCCTGGGAATTGCGACATCATCCGAATCGGTAGCTTTGTAATTGTGTATTGGACGGACTGCGCAACGGTTTCAAGCTCGGTTTTCAGCCTGCGCTTTCACTAAAATCAGCTAAGAAAGACAAACCTCCAGCCTACCAGCAGCCCTTGGTCATTGATAAGTACTTGGCCCATGAGGTTTCCCGGGGTAGGGTTGCGGGCCCTTTCAGATCTCCTTCCCTCCCCAACCTTCATATAAGTAGCTTTGGGGTTATTCCCAAAAAGGGTCAGCCTGGGCAGTGGCGTTTGATAGTGGACCTCTCTTCCCCCGGTGGTGCAAGCGTCAATGATGGGATCAACGCCCACGAGTTTACCTTTCATTACATAACAGTTGACCAAATCATCCGCATGGTGTCCCGACTCGGCAGAGGGGCACTTATGGCTAAGTTTGATGTCGAGGCAGCTTACCGTAATATTCCAGTACACCCATCTGACCGGTTTCTCTTAGGAATGAAGTGGCGGGAGTCCTACTATGTTGACTTGACCCTTCCATTCGGCCTTCGCTCTGCCCCTTACATTTTCAACTCAGTGGCAGATATGGTTGAGTGGATTCTGGTGCATTCATATGAGGTCTCCGATTTACTCCATTATCTCGATGATTTCATCACAGCTGGCCCCCAAGCCTCGACTCAGTGCTAGGAACCTCAGTACTGCTTTGGCTGTTTGCGACCAGTTAGGGTTACCTCTTCATCCTAGAAAATGTGTTGGCCCTGCCCCAGTACTTACAGTTCTGGGCATTGAACTGGATTCTGTCAATCAGGTGGCCCGCCTTCCAGCAGAGAAACTCCACGCCCTGCGGGAGCTGATTGCATCATGGTTAGCCCGGTCTTGGTGCAACAGACGGGAGCTAGAGTCCCTAATTGGTCACCTCCATCATGCCGCGAAAGTGGTATGGCCTGGTCGCACCTTCTTACGTCGGATGATTGACCTGCTCGGCTGCTTCCGCAAGAAGGACCACCCTATCCATCTTAATAAGGAGTTCCATCGTGATTTGCATTGGTGGCATCAGTTCCTGGTAGATTGGCATGGGGTCAATTTCTGACTTTTTCCAGGCAATACGCCTACTGCGCGTGTGGAAGTTTCCTCTGATGCAGCTGGTTCTCTGGGCTTTGGTGCATATTTAGAGGGCATGTGGTTTACTGGTTCTTGGATGCCCTCACAGCGAGAACAGTCCATTGCTTATAAGGAACTCTTTCCAGTGGTCGTCTCTGCTCATGTTTGGGGCCACCTTTGGTGCAGGCGGCATGTTCTATTTCGATCGGACAACGACAGTGTGGTGCACATTCTGAATGCGAGGACATCTAAAGTGCCATGTCTTATGCATTTGCTACGTTCCTTGCTACTGGCAGCTGCCTGTCATAGTTTCTCGTTCTCTGCCCAACATATTCCTGGAGTCACTAATTCGATAGCTGATGCCCTTTCTCGCTTTCATTGTTTGCTACGTTTTTGGCCGGTTCCCTTCAGCATTCTTCCATCAAAGTGTATCTCTCTGGGGTGAGAGCCCTTCATATCGAACAAGGTTTTGCGGACCCTCTTCACAACTGTCTTCGCTTGCAGCGTGTCATTCGTGGCATCAAACGCACTCAGGGCTCCCCCTCATCTAGTCGTTTGCCAATTACAGATGACCTCATGCTAGTCATTCGGAAGTCCTTAAATTTGCAGCTCCTTGATCATTGTATGTTTTGGGCGGCATGCACGCTGGGGTATTTTGGGTTTCTACAGTCCGCGGAATTTACGGTCCCTTCTTTGGCAACTTTCTCCCCCTCGGTTCATTTGGGCGTGCAGGATATCGCAGTAGACTCCAGCACAGTTCCCTCGTGCATCCGCGTCACTATCAAGGCGTCCAAGACAGATCCGTTCCGCAAGGGCTGCTCCATTCATATTGGCCTCGGCAAGTATCCCCTAAGCGCTGTCCACGCATTACTGGCCTATTAGGCTATCCGGGGTGATGGGCCTGGCCCTCTGTTTCTTTGTCAAAACGGGCAACCTCTCTCGCGTACTCTACTCACCAACTGGCTTGGACAAATCATGGCCTCTGCTGGAATTTCTAGTAATTTTTCAAGCCACAGCTTCCGAATAGGCGCAGCCACTGTTGCTGGCCGCAATGGTATTCCAGATCATTCAATTCAGGAGCTGGGGCGATGGAAAAGCAATGCCTTTCAGTCTTACATCAGAACTCCGTCTGCGGCCTTAGCATCTCTTTCTCAGAAGCTGGTGTGATTGGCCTTTGCTTGCCAAGGTGGTCTTCGTAGCCCTTCGTCGCCGGCCGGTGTCTCCTTCAGCTTAGCGCTGCGTCCTTCACTTACAGGTAGGCTTGTTTTTTTTGGTTCTCCTCTATGGCATCAAGCTATCTGTTATTGGGGCTTAGCGGTGCTTGGAGTCTCTTGGGAAGGTTCAGAGGTTCCATGTTGCCCGACCATCGGGAACCTCCGGTCACCAAGCCCCGGAGAAGATGGGTGGTTCCCGCTTGCCGGGTTGCCATGGAGACCTCCCCGCGGTGCCTGAATTACCTCGGGCCCTTCCCCACTAACTTTTAAGGCACCAGTTCCCAAGCTCATCAATTGGCGATGAGTTTAAATGTGGCTAAATGTAATTTAGGCAAGGTTAATCTCGAGCTAATGCTGCCAGCGGTCTCGCCCAGTTTGCACATGATCCGTGGGGGTACCCCTTTGGAGTTCGCAGGGGCAAACTACGTGCAGCCTTGCTTGCGTGCGATCGTTGCGATCGTTGCGATCAATGCTTCTGTGAGCGAATCTTTGAGGATTCATTAGCCCCACCCTCCCTTCCCAGAGGGCTTCTTGATTTCAGAGGTAAGTATCGGGTTAGGTAAGTATTTCCACTGGACTAGTTTCAGTGTGACGGTGCTTGTTAGCGGCTGCTTTTGGGGTGGTTCCCGCTTGCCGGGTTGCCATGGAGACCTCCCCGCGGTGCCTGAATTATCTCGGGCCCTTCCCCGCTAACTTTTAAGGCACCAGTTCCCAAGCTCATCAATTGGCGATGAGTTTAATAGGGCTGTTAATACCACCTACCAGCAAATTAAAGGGGTTGCTATGGGCAGCTACCATAGCCGGCAAATTGCGGACCTCGTGCTCCTACTAAGCGAATTTTCATTTTTTAACAATACTAACTGCCCTACTAATAGCATTTTTATTTTGTGCCGTTATATAGATGATGGATTTATGCTAACCAGCAAAGCTAAATTACCTAATATCATCTCTAACCTTTGGAGCTCTTACCCGCCACAAATACCTCTCACTTTCACATCAAATCACCATACCACTCATTACCTAGATCTCACTTTGTCACTCAACCACTCCACCATCAAGTCCCACAGAGTGCATCACCAGATCTACCAGAAACCGCACCATAAATACATGTACCCTCATTTTTCATCTAACTATCCCCATCACATTTTTGCTGGTATCATTAAAACTGAAACTATACGATACAGTAGACTTTCAGCCACAATAGACGACTACAACTTCATTCACCACCTTTTCACACTTAGACTTACTGCCTTAGACTATCCTTTACAATTGATCACAGAACATTCATTTCCATGGATCACACGCACTGCTCACCAGCGACGCCTCAAAAACAAACAGACTAATAACGTTACCAGGCCCACTGTTTACTACAAGACTCTATACAACAAAGACAAACGAACAGACAAACTGATCAACAGCATTCTTCTCAAATACCACAACCCACACATACTGAAACTCTCAAAAGCATACTGCAACTCTACTAAACTCCACACACTCCTTCTTACTAATAAAATGTTACACCATAAATTAATCCTATTTAATAATTCTACCACTTAACAAATATTACATATATTATATCTATACACGTACAATCAAAATATATATCTACCAGCAGCCAATTTTCCTTTTGCCAAATCTTTGCTGGTTATTTATATCATTTCAATGGGTTCTTCATCTACCATCATGTACATAGTTTCTCCACTTCTAATGCGGTTATAGTTTTAGCACTACAAATTTAACTTATTATACCCTAGACAGCATACAAAATCAATGGACATAATAACACTTTCGCACTACTTAAATATAGAATATAGAATTATGCTAGCTTCAAGCTTTAATGATTTTTAAATTTTACACTTGTGTGTAATCAAGTTTTAATTCATTCTACTTGACACTTGTGTGTAATCAAATTTTAATTCATTCTACTAGATATTTTATATTACTTTCACCAAAAAGTTACCCTAATATTTTAATCGATTTTCACTATTCCCTACCACAGGCTTTTTTAGCATTATAATTCTCATTCATATACTAGGTCTTTATCAATAAATTTATCCAGATGGTTTAATGTTAAAAGCAGTCACTGCCTATTTCACTGCAACATCGTATCGTGTCTCCTCCTTTTTACACTGCCTTATAACTTTAACTTTAACTTTATTATTCCATCGCTCATAAAGTACAAACTCAGTAAAGCCAAAGCCGGGGGCTTATACGGCCTGTGGTCAGAATAACAGAAATTATTTTATATAGAAATGAAAACCGTAGGCTAAACTACAAAACTAAAATAAGAAACAAAACTGAAATTAAATAAGTTTACATGCATGCAGTCCTATAACAGTCCATAACTAGTGACAAATAAACTAACAATAAACTATGAGAATCCTGTGCTAGTTCAATTTAGCCTTAAAAAGTGAAGTTTTAGTTTCTTTTTGAAGTTAGTAGTGGTAAGGCTGTCACAGACAGTCAAGGGGATATCGTTCCAAATAGTTGGGGCTTGAGAACTAATCGCAAATTGATACCTGAGGGACAATTTATGCAAGTTGAAACGAGAACGAGTTAGATAATCATGAAAATCACGATTAAAGTGGAGGAGGGAGGAAAGAGAGGCAGGTAAAAGGCGATTAAAGTATGAGAATACAAAACAAGAAAGATGAAATTTATAAAGTGAATGGAGAGAGAGAATATTAAGCTTCGAGAAAAGAGGCTTAGAACGAGTTCTTGGAGGAGAAAAGGTGATAATTCGAATGGCTTTCTTTTGGAGTAGATAGAGGGGTTCAAGGTAGGAGGCATATGTAGATGCCCAGATGAGGTTACAATAGTTGATATAAGGTAGAAAGAGGGAATTATATAAGGTTTTTAGAGTGACCGAAGGTAAGTATCGTCTCGATTTAGACAAAATTCCTATAACCTTAGCGACTTTATCGCAGATGGAAGTGATATGCGGTTTCCATGAAAGGTTTTCGTGAATAATTATTCCAAGAAATTTATGTTCCCGTACCCGCGCTATAGGGGTGTTATTTATTAAGATGTTTAATTCTGAAGGATTGATCTGTTTACATCGTGGATGGAAGATGATAAATTTGGATTTATCAGGATGAACAGTAAGCTTGTTTGCGTTAAACCAGGAGGAGACATGAGAAAGCTCTTGATTAACCATTCTAGTTAAAGTAGCCAAGTCTTTATGACGAAGAAAAATATTGGTGTCTTCAGCAAAAAGAATAAATGAAAGATAATTTGAAGAAAGAAAAAGTAGTTTTTCAAGATCATTAATGTATAGGAGGAATAATAAGGGGCCAAGAACAGAACCTTGAGGGACCCCACACACAACAGTATTATTAGAAGAAACATGACCATTGACCATAACATGTAACATGTAACATGTTGTCTAAATAGCTGGTGAGCCAAGCTAGAGGAATACCACAGATACCATAAAAGTTTAATTTGTCAATAAGTATCTGATAATTTACAGTATCAAATGCCTTCTTAAGGTCTAAGAAAATTCCAACAGTGTATTCATTACTTTCAACGCCTTCATATATATTGTTTACAAATTCGAGGATAGCCATAGTTGTAGAATGATGTGGTCTGAAGCCATACTGATGATGACCAAGAATGTCAAATTTTTCAAGAAATGCAGACAATCTGAAGTAAAGGAGTTTTTCAAACACCTTGGAAAGACAGGGGAGAATAGAAATAGGCCTGTAGTTAGAGAACAAGGAAGAGTCATCACATTTGAAAATGGGAAGGATCTAGGCTGGTCTTTCCCATGATGAAGAAGATAAGTACATCGTTTGGGTAAAAGAAAAGAGACTAGAATGTCCTAAGCTTCTCTACATAATCGCCAAAAAAGTTGAGAATTAGAGGAGCATCAAAAACCACACGTCCATCTTGTTCGATAACCGCTGACCACTCCTCTCCTTGCATGCAGTCTAGCGAAATTTTCCATCTTTATCCTTGTAAAACCACAGGTAACCCAGGCTCTGTGATAGTACCATAGTACGGTTCCAGTAAAATTACAGTGTTTGTATGGGGTAAAAATATCATCCTAAAATTTCTAGGAAATACTAAATAAAGATCAATGAAACTTACTCTGCAGTTAATTGTTGTTGTCCTTATTGCTCCAACGAAGTTTCGTGATAACTTGCAGTAATTTGTTCAAATTCACTCTGTCTACAATAATAATATACAAGGTAGGAAACACGAGGTGCCATTTTCGCCGACATGCTCTCATTCAACACAACTTTTTCCACGAAATTCGAACTCCAACGGAAAATAAACATGCCAGGATCGTAGAAATAGGATAGCAGCAGATATAGAAACCAATGAAGCTTTCCCAGATAGAGAAACGAATCCCACAGACTTGGACAAACTCGAAGAATATAATCCAAACACACCGAGAATACGCTCGCCCGAAGCAGCCGGGCCAGATCAACGCGCGCCAAGAAAATGAAGCCTGGGCACTGTACAAAAAATTCCATCCCGGGGAGTCCTGGGGTGACCTTTCTAGGGACCGATACATCATTTGCCCAAAGCCACCCTCCCCTGCTGGAAAAATACTTGATAGAAGGCAATTGTTCTTCTTAGCTAATCACCATTTGCCAGAGCAAACCCTTTGCACGCGCCTGAATTTAAATGGCTAAAAAAAAAAAGTAATATAATCAGGAGAGT